TGAGATATCATCTCACACCAGTCAGAATGGCCATCATCAAAAAATCAGGAAACAATAAATGCTGGAGAGGGTGTGGAGAAAAGGGAACACTCTTGCACTGCTGGTGGGAATGTGAATTGGTACAGCCACTATGGAGAACAGTATGGAGGTTCCTTAAAAAACTACAAATAGAACCACCATATGACCAAGCAGTCCCACTACTGGGCATATACCCTGAGAAAACCATAATTCAAAAAGAGTCATGTCCCAAAATGTTCATTGTGGCTCTATTTACAATAGCCAGGAGATGGAAACAACCTAAGTGTCCATCATCGGATGAATGGATAAAGAGGATGTGGCACATATATACAATGGAATATTACTCAGCCATAAAAAGAAACAAAATTGAGCTATTTGTATGGAGATGGTGGACCTAGAGTCTGTCATATAGAGTGAAGTAAGTCAGAAGGAGAAAGACAAATACCGTATGCTAACACATATATATGGGATCTAAGAAAAAAAAAGTCATGAAGAACTTAGGGGTAAGACAGCAATAAAGACACAGACCTACTGGAGAATGGACTTGAGGATATGGGGAGGGGGAAGGGTGAGCTGTGACAAAGCAAGAGAGTGGCATGGACATATATACACTACCAAACGTAAAATACATAGCTAGTGGAAAGCAGCCGCATAGCACAAGGAGATCAGCTCGGTGCTTTGTGACCACCTAGGGGGGTGGGATAGGGAGGGTGGGAGGGAGGGAGACGCAAGAGATATGGGAACATATGTATATGTATAACTGATTCACTTTGTTATAAAGCAGAAACTAACACACCATTGTAAAGCAATTATACTCCAATAAAGATGTTAAAAAAAAAAAAAAAAAAACTATGGCAAACAGGATTTAAAGAGTGTTGCAAATGAATGTGGAACCCCAGAGGAGAAAAACACCAAAGTAACATTAAGCAAAATACATAAAACTTTTAACCTCAACCAGGGTTTTTCTCTCATATCTGAAGCTGATAGACTTAGAGGTGTAAGGAAATAATCCAGGCTTTGGTGCCCCTCAAAATGATCTTTACCCCTTTTTTGCACCATATCAACAAGCAAATCAGCAGCTGAAAACATTTAACATAGAAGACTAGGAATATTACATATATTCATTACATACTGGCCTCATAGCCTATGAATTAACCTCTTAAAGAATAAAATCTTAGATCTCTAAGCCTCTACTATAAAATATATATAATAACTTAATAAGTATTTGGGGGAAATATGCCTTCCTAATATGTCATAGGATGGAAATAATGAGAAAAAAAGGACTAAATTGGCTAGGATAATCTGACACAAGAAGGTCATAAAAAAATAAAAAATATAAAAATATAAATAAAACTTAACACTACAATCCACCTATAACCTCTGAAAAATCTCCTAGACCATCAATCTGGTATTTTTTCCACAAAGAATCTATTTTTTTAAATTCTAGCTTATTTTCTAATTTGTCTACTAGAGTAGAATTTTAAAATACAAAAGCTAGAGACTACAGCTCAAAAAGATGCTAAATAAATGTGAAACATTTAATGTCTTTAAATAAATATTAAATAGATGCTATAATATCTTAACAAGGAAAATCAAAAAGCTTTTTAAATATTTGCCTTTCAACGTAGTATAGCAAAATTTCAGCTTCTTTTGCCTTGCCTGGGTCATCTTCAAGTAGTTCCTCAACAATGCCTTGTTCACCTGTAAATATTGAAAGCACCACTGGATGATATTTAAGGTTATCAATCAACAGAAAATAACAAACATATAAATGTTTAATACCAACAACTTAATGCTATAGTTTCTAATAGCACCAACCTCTTCCTAAACTGAGTAGCTTCCCCATCCCTTTCTTCCTTATTTTCAGGTATTCTCTCCTTGGCTAACCAAGTCTACTCTTCACCAATTATTTGTCAGCTGTTGAAGGAAGAAGCCCACAGGGTAACAGAGACCTAACAGAAGTAAGTACATTTTTACTTTCTTTAAACTCAGCCTAGGAAAATCCCCATTCTTTAGCTTTCTGGAGAAAAAAAATGTTTTCCATTATTCATGTTAATTAACAAATATAGATCCTCTACCGTGTAAATCTTTACTTTTCTGAATGTGCTCCATGAAGTCTTGAAATGATCTGCTCATATCAGATTTTACCCACAAAGTAAGTGCCTGTGAAATAATCTGCAGTCTTTGATGACTATAAAGATAAAAAACATTAACAATATACTGAACCTAAAATCAAATAGTGGAATATTAAAATAAACACAAATAAAAGCTTCAAACTGTAAAAAGTATATATTCAACTTTCATACCGGAACTGTAATTCATTGTTCAGATTTTCAGCTAAATCTCGCCGTTCTAATACCACAATCATTTCCTCATCTAAATCTGCCTTCCTCTGAGCTGGTAAATATTTTTTTGACATAAGTTGCTCAATTTCTGCATATTTATCTTCAAGATGTTTCAAGTATTTAGTGAGAGCATCTAAACTGACAGATTCTTGGAGAGTCATGCCTAAGGGAAAAGGGAACAAATCAAACAAGCCAAGCCACGTGTGGGACTCTTGTGCTCAAACAGCAAGTCTTAGCAAAACAGGTCAGATGGTTGCCTATGTTAAGGAATAATTAAGAAATTGTAGCATGAACTTGAAGATTATTGAACATAAACAGAATTAGCATACATTTCTAAATGGCTGGTAGTTTTAAACAAATCATCAATGAAGACTTAGTGAAGACTGATGGTCCAAACCTTAGCATTTTAAGAAAAAAAATTTTAACGACCGCATCACCACATCTTGCAAACCCCTAAATATCAATCTTATTCAGTAACACCAAGAACTTTTGCCTAATAATTCAGGATTCCTGTTCAATGATTTTTCCCTAACCAAACTTTCCATTAGTCTACTACAACTAACCCCAGGGTAATCTGTTTATTCTCTCCAATGCAAAGTTTATAAATGCCTGCCAAATCTTCAGTCCTTTCTCCCTCGGTCATTGTCCCCTCTATTCATTATTCATAACTGCCCCCCACATACACACACACTTCAAATGACTTTCATTCTCATTCAGACCAATTGTTGCCTTTAAAGGCACACCTCAAAATTCTCTTCAAGAACCCCCCCTGGATTAACCCTAATCAATTTCAGTCATTCCCTTACACCCTGTATCCCTTCAGCATTTAATCAATTTGTCAGCTATTTTGTACTTATTCATATGTATCTTATTTGTAGTCTGCTAGTCATAATTTTATACTTGAAAGTGAATCTAGTCCCTGCTTCAACCAATCATAGGATGATCATTCAACCTCAGTTAAAATCCTCTGGTGTGGGGTAGCTCATTATCTCAAGACATAGCTTCTTCCATTGAAACCAAATCTGACTTCCTAAAATTTCCACTTATTGATTCTGCCTCTGGATAAACACTAGTTGGAATTTTGAAAAGTTTTGAATGCAGTTATCTATTCTCAAAGTCTTTCTTTACTCCAGGATGTATATTTGCAACTCCTCTATCCATTCATCATACAAATCTCTCAATATTCTGGAGGAATTCCAGGATATACTCCAATTTCTTAAAATGTGGCTTGGCTGAAAATGAGGAACCAGTGAATGCTGACATCAGTGTGAATCAACAATATTCACCAGAACTTTACGTACCACAGGTTTTTCACATATTTCATGGGTTCTCAAACTATAAAATGCATCAGAATAACCTAGAGAACTTGTTAAAACACTGACTGCTGGGCTCCACCACCCGACCCCAACTCCCATCCCTGGAATTTCTGACAGAGTAAATCTGCAGCAGGACAAAAAAATTTGCATTTCTAACAGGTTCCCAGGTAATGCTGATGTTGATGTAGGAATCACACTTTAAGAGCCACTGTACTATACTTTATATAATCCAGCCAGACTGGAACTCTTTCACTTGTTTAGGGTTGTTTAAGTTTTCTCATTCCCTTGTATGTACCTAGAGGCCAGACTAAAGCTGTTTGTAAAGTCTGGCTAAAGTCCCGGTATACTTGGAAGATATATACATGGTAACACATATATATTAATTTGTGTAACTGGAAACAGTTGGAATTTCTCTCAAATATTTTAAACAAAATACTGTACCTGGAATAGGTTTTGAAGGATCTTTGCAGTAAATACAATATTGTTCTTTTGTGTCATACTCTGCCCTAAGTTGTTTCATTTCATCTATTTGCAATTGAATCTTTGAGGAATTATTTTCAATAAGCCTCATCCTGAAAAACAGAAAGGCTTTTTTATGTTTCTTTCAACGAATTATTTAATCATACAATTCAAAGTAAAACAGGTTAAATTATTACTTTAATTTGGCTAATTATCATTTTGTACCGTTATGAATGTAGACGGAAGTTTACAAAAGAATGCCTAGGAAGTTAACTAACCTCACAAGTGCGGAACAATTTTCTTTCAAAGCATCAATAAAATCTTATACTGCCTATGATTCATAACCTTATTGGAAATTTGTAAGTATTAAACATAATAATCTAGCCACAAAGTACTATGTCTATTCCCTTTAGTTGAAAATTACCTTTGCAATTTAAAAATTATTTTTGTTAAGTAATTGTATTAGTTTCCTGTGGCTGCTATAACAAATTACCACAAACTTGGTGGCTTAAAACAGCAGAAATCTATTCTTTCACAGTTCTGGAGGCCAGAAGTCCAGTATTAGTATCAGTGGGCCAAAATCTGTGTTTTTAGGATTGTGCTTCCTCTAGAAGCTCTAGGGGAGCATCCATTCCTTGCCTCCTCCAGCTTCCGAGGGCTGCCGGCCTTCTGTGGCTGCATCACTTCAATCTCTGCCCCCGAGGTAATGATGCTTTTTCCCCTTGTGTCTGTGTCAATGCTCCCTCTACCTCTCTGTATAAGGACACTTGTGATGGTATTTCGGACCCACCTGCATAATCCAAGAGAATCTCCCTAGCTCAAGATCCTTAATGTAATCATATCTGCAAAGACCCTTTTTCCAAACAAAGTAACATTTCCAGGATTAGGACCTATTTCTTTGGGGACCATTATTCAGCATACTCTATTAACTTTGATTCTAGAGTTAGAGGAATGATAGCATCTTGAGATAAAACTGAGTTCATCCAGAAATGGAGGTTTTAAAGACCAAAAAGTAAATAAAACCTTCTTTTAAGCATTATTTGAAATTTACTTCCTAGTTTATCACCCATATTTTGGTCCAGGGAGGAAATAATAGATTAAAATCAGTTAGCTACATAAATGTTACAGGAGTTTTGGTAAATTAAAAACAAGTTTGTCAGTAGATAACCGCTACCTAAGTCTGATTACTATATAGAGTTCTTGGTAACTACAGATGGCTCAGAGTAGGAGCTTGCAGTATTTATGAAAGAGGGACTGTGGAAATAAAATATCCTTGGCTTTCATCCAAATAGTTATGCTTTAGGAAGAAAGACATGTTAAAAGTAAACAGACTTTCGAAAAAATTGAAAGCAGGGACTCAGACAGATACTTGTACATGAATGTTCATGGTGGCACAAGTCACAATAGCCAAAGGTGGAAAAAACTCAAGTACCCATCAACTGATAAGTAGATGAAATATGGTACATACAAACAATGGAATATTATTCAGCCATAAAAAGGAATTAAGCTCCAATACATGCTACAACATGGATGAGAAGGTATCCAGTCATTGCTCCTATCCACAGCTACTTTTATGATCTCTTTATCTTTGACAATTTCACTACAGTAAATCTAGTTGAGTATTTCTTATTACTTACAATGGGATTCTTTGGTATTCCAGAATCTGTGAATTGATATCTTTCACCAGTTCTAGAAAATTCTCAGCCATATTCTCTTCAAATATTGTCTCTGTCCCATATTCTCTTCTCTTTGAGTTGTGATTAGACATAATAATATAACTTTCTCACTCTGTCCTCCATGGTTTTTTTATAATAGCTTTATGGAAATATAGTTCGTATACCTTAAAATTCACCCTTGTAAAGTATACAATTCAGTGAATTTTAGCATATTCAAAGAGCTGTGCAAATACTACCATTTCTAGTTCCAGAACATTTCATCACCCCCAAAATAAGCCCTGGATCTGTTAGTAGTCTGCTAAACAGAAGGCAATTTTCCATGCAGTCCTCAAAGGTGGAGCAGTTTACCTCTTGTTCACTCTTCAAGGGTGTAGCCCTTTATCATCCCAGATTTATATGGGGAGGATTTCCCAGTAGACTACACCCCTTGGGCAGATAGATCCTGGGCTCTGTCTTTTGTACCCCTGTGCCACAGACTAAAAACTAAAGCTTATGGTCACTAGTTTTAATAAATGCTTTCAGGGTCAAAGAAGTTTTAGTGCTTCTCCATCTTTTGTCTTCTGTTATGATTTTGCCCTAATATTTCTGTCACTACCCTGTCAGCTTCCTGTTACTTTTGGAAAAAAATTTCTTTACCATCTTATGTAGCATATTTTCCCAATAGGAAGATCTATCCCAACATCTAGCAAGCCACATTACCAGAAGTGGAGGTCAAATTTTACATAATTTTCCAGGTTGACTTGAAATTATCTGTAATAATTTACCCATCAATTACCAAATGGAACACTGAAAATCTGAGACTACTTAGCAAGAATGAGCATTTTATCCTCTCCCAGTAGGTTATTTATCTTTGTGCATCAGAGCATTAAGTGCTCTATTTCAGATGGTAATCATGAAATTGTACTATTAAACCTTCCATGCAAGAAATCACCTGGAGCAATTATCTGTATCCCTCATTTTATGATACTACAATGTGCCTCCAATTATCCTAAGAGATATTATAAAATTCTCAAACAGAATTAGTATTATTTTTCAAGTAAAAATATAGTAATTTCAATAGGAAGGGTAACATAAAAACATGGCTTTAAAATAAAATTGAAATTGAAAAAGAGTAAGAACCACTGGTTATAGTTACAATGGCTAGTTAATATAACAAAGTAACAATTATCACCTTTTGGGCTACTTACTAATATACTTACTTTGCTTTAAGTTGAGTTATTCTTTTCCTATGATATACCAATGCTGTGGGCTCTCCTGCCAAAACTTTAAGTTTTCCATGAAGATGAAATGCAGTTCTCTGGCTTTTCTTTATTGTCTCAATAAAGGCATCGTATTCTTTTTTGATTGAAGTAAGAATGGATTTGTATGCAGTGACATACTCTATTACCTAAAATATGATTTTTTCTAGAAGACTATGGATCAAAAGACTTGCAAATACAGATTATAGATTTTTTTTTAATGAAACATGAGGGGCAATTATAAATCTAAAATTTTACAAATTTGAGCTTGCATTCATATGCAAATACCACTATTAAAGACAGTTGTTACTGAATATATGCTCTTTGTGAATCATTACAATCCTGTGAGCTTAAATATGAGAGAGAGAAAAAAAAACCATGTTTTTTGCTCTACTAGGAATTAACACATACATTATACGAGGTCAGATAAAACCAATACCAGATCTAATTATCTCAATTCTGGATCTCTTAAATACTATTAAATATCGTCCCTCATTACCTCCAAGTCTAGTCTCTGAAGGACTTCATTCAGACCTTAAAATCCTGGACTCCCTTCACTTCCCTGTTTTTCTAACCCATCTGCTCCGACTAGCTGATCAATACTCTCAATTCCAAACTGCATTTCTAATCCCAAGATGTCAAGTGCAACTGGAGAAAACCATTCATACCTTACATTCATGGTTTACAATGGTGTTTAAATACATAATATCTCTGGAACTATAATGGAAGAGAATGGAAACCTACAGAGAAGGAAAGGAAAACAGAAACTTACAGAGAAGGAAACCTACATAATATCTCTGGATTGTTAATAGAAGAAAATAGAAACCTACAGAGAAGGAAAGGGAAGTAGGGTCTAAGATGAGAAGGACCAGACTTTCCACTGTATACTCTTATCGGTTCTTTTACTTTTCTTTTCTTTTCTTTTTTTTCCTGGTTAATCTTGTGTAGGCATTACCCATACAAAGAAACAATAATAACTAAGGAGCACTTTAAAGAAGTTAAAAAACAAAAAAAGTTAAAAATAATTTATGGTTGCCAAATTCTGCTCACAAGGATGTTGGAAGGTGTCGAGGCATATAAAGAATAGATGTGATCAATCCACAGTTTTCTCTGAAAGATACAATTAGGCTTTCTACCCTTACTATATCTCTAGTCTCTGGTATACCACACTGTTAGCTAGAAAATACCTAGAAAAAATTATCCAGGTAGACATCTGGTCTATCAAGAAATGGTATAAGGAGGGGAGTTCCCTGGTGGTCTAGTGGTTAGGATTCGACGCTTTCACTGCCATGGTCTGGGTTCAATCCCTGGTAGAGGAACTGAGATCCCGCAAGCCATGCAGCCAAAAAAAAAAAAAAAAAATGGCATAAGGAGATAATTGCTCAATGCCAAGCACCAGGAAAGGATAACTGAATGGGAAATACTGGTCATCTTTTTGACATGACCATACTACCTATCCACCCAAAGGACTGCCACCCAGCAACTTTCAATAAAATAGAGGTCATTAATCTGTGGTCTTCCAAATTAAATACCCCACGGTTCCTGGCCATACTCCACTCCACAAGCCTCTATGAGGTGCTGCAACAATTCAAGACAACTCAGATATGTTAATGGATAGAAAACAGACTTGTAGTAACATCATGATCAGCTCCCACATGGTTTTGCTAGAAGAAATAGATTTCAGAACACCCATAGGAATCTTTAAGAATGCACAGAAAATGCATTAAAGTAAAGGAGGGAAACTTGTATGCCAGAGGTAGAACAGTTTTGCTTGGTCCACAAAATATTTTAAAAGTTAGGAAATTTCACCCCAAACCCAAATTTTCAGGTTCTCTTGAAAACTGAAAAATCTACCAACGTGGAACCCCCATTCCTTAATGGCAGTAATCAGCTGGAGCTTTAGATTGGATTGATTTTTCATTTTACCACAGTCCCCATGATTCCTTATTCTGTTAAAGCCAGTACACTTAACTCTTTTGTATGACCTTCTTGGCCTCTAGGGATTCAAGTTTCAGACTCCGGTATTAAGGTTTCCATTAACCCCCCCCCCCCCAAAACAGAGCCATCCTTACCAGGTACAGGGATCTGAGGGAGAGGAGGAATGGTATCCATTCCACCTCAGCAGTACACGAATATACACTATTTGTACAACACGCTACCAGGATGCAAAAGGCCAGTCACTTTCTGGAGTCCAATTACCTCCATAATTCACCCGTATCTGTTGAAGCTCACTCTTCCTAGCTTTGGTTTTCTTTGCTTACTAAGTCCTTTGCTTACTAAGTCCTTGGCTCTCTCTGCAACGTACCCTCAACTCTTGTTACACAGCCTCAGGTCCTCCTTGCTTTGATTTAGGCATGGTTCTCTAGGCCAAATCCTCTATCTTTGATTTTAAACAGAATTTGGTATTTGTTCTCTGGTTCTAAGTACTCAGAGATGCAAGCTGACACTTTCATCTTTTGCCCAACCAGATCCTTCCGAGAAGGAAGATTAGAGAAGGCAGGCATTAATAGTTTATTAACAATCAAATGTGTTGGAATAACATGAAAATGGAAAGGCAGATTATCTTATTGAGAAGCTAGAATAAAAGTTTCTCTAAGTACCAAATGATTTCTATTTCAGAACCCCTCTCAGTCCTGAAGAATAGGATACCTCACAATGTACAAATGTACAATTTATAACTGTACAATGTACAAACAGTCCAAAGGGAAATCCTGGGGGGTATGGAGAAAAGGACTAAAGATACAGAAATTATCTTTTATTTAATCCCATGTCTTTTCTCTAAGAATTAAATTTACCAAAGCTCCTCCAAAATGACATCACTATAACTATACTAATTTAAAGCAGAGAGCTCTTCATGTAAGAAAACTTCTGACAAGTGTTAGCATTTAGACATGCAAAGATAAGTATGTTACAATTATGGTAACTTTCCTTTGCTGATTTCACACAAGTAGAGTCTCAGCATGATTCTTGATATTTATAAAACCTATTCAATACACTACCTTCAGTACCTTTAAATATTCACCTAATACATTCCTTAATGACTAAAACACCAAAACAATTTCATTGATCATAACAACTTATAAAATGAAGCTAATCTGCCAGACACAGATTTTCCAAGACAGATTTTCCAGATGACTTAAAAGGAAGAAAATATTCTTTTTTTCCATTTTATACTTTTATGGATATGCATCAATTTTCTTAATTCCACTTGTAGGTATATATCACTACTTTGTGTTCACTTTTCCTTAGAGTGAGGCACTATATTTTTATTTAGAGGAGAAATAAGACTCAGTGTGTAATGTTTAAAATTTAAACAAAACACTGAGTTCCTATTTTGCCTATGGCTGTTTTACTCAGAGACCAATAGTTTACAGAAGTCTTCACATAAGTAATAATTTCTTCTAGGTAAGGAGGAAAGAGTGCTGACTTCACTGATTTTACTGTCAGGGCATCTTACGTGGGTAAAAAAAAAAAGTGAGATAAAAAAATGAGGATCGGTGGCCATATTGCAATTGTTGTTAAGGAAAAGCAGGTATTTCTAAAACCTTGAAAAGCAAAATCAAATGTTACATAAAGCCACAGCATTTTCTTACCTCCATATTTCCAACATTCAGTGCAGTTAAACCCCTTGTTTACTATGCCTATCTAGACCTCTAATCTACAAGGAGTCTCAATTTAATATGCTAGATCAAATCTAAACCAAGATTCTAATTATACCACAAACCAACCCAAAACAACAAAGAACTACCAGGTTCATGCTTACAGCCCAATTCCTAACAAATCAGATAATGATTTGAGATGGAAGGTCAAAATGATATTAGAGGGCACAGCTAGGTTGCTGTTCAAAAACTGATAGCCTGCACTTAAGCTACAATAACTGAAACTCTCATTAACTGTCTAGTAATATAAATCCAGCATTGCATTTTCCCCATTCATCCCTTTCTGACAAATTGGATGAACTTCTCAAAACTGACGAATGGAATGTAGTCAAACAAGCAGTGGTGTTACTAAGGCAGGAATATTAGTTGTCAAGATAGACCATTTCTACTACATAAAAACTCTGTTGTCTTAAAGCATTATGATACCTTATCAAAAACGTTTCGGTATATGATGTAATATTCATCAGCAGGTCCTTCCTCATTACAGCCCACTCTTTCAGTTTCTGTAATTATGTATCTTTGCATTCTTTCCAAAAATTCCTTGTCACTTCTACTAATGATAGGAGGGAGAACTGCATGTTTATTTATTTCTTGGACGGACATATGTCACAGTCTGCACACCTGTTCACCAGAGAAAAGTCTTGACGTGCTTTCGCAACAAAGCCAAAACTTTGATAAGCCTGAAAGAAAAAGACCATCAATTAATCTAAAGCTTAATTAAGTCAAATATTGATCTAGGGCTTCGCTGGTGGCGCAGTGGTTGAGAGTCCGCCTGCCGATGCAAGGGACACGGGTTCGTGCCCCGGTCCCGGAAGATCCCACATGCCGCGGAGCAGCTGGGCCCGTGAGCCGTGGCCACTGAGCCTGCGCGTCCGGAGCCTGTGCCCCGCAACGGGAGAGGCCCCAACAGTGAGAGGCCCGCGTACCGCATAAAAAAAAAAAAAATTGATCTAAATAAAACGTCTATTTGTTTCAGAAGAAAAAAAAGTCTCATGGATCTCTGAAATAAATATTTCAACCTATGAATTAAAAGGTCTGATCATTCTACTACCATGTGCTATACTATACCTCTGGGATAGAATACCAGTCAATAAAGAACTCATTTCTTACTAAACAAGTATATGTATCATATGATTGAATGGTTTCTTTAACTCAACACTTTCTAACAGAAGGTTTATTAGCATTTTCTTTATTTGTTTCATGTGGGAAAACTAGTTTGGAGGCCTCCTGATGAAGCAAGCAAGATCAAATATTTCTCTACGCATGTACCTACCTGGCCCAGTCACAGTTATCCAACACACAATAGCTATAAATAATTCATGAATTTATTTTTATGATGAATTTTATTATAATTCTTATCTTTACTATGAACGTACTAACTGAAAAGTAAGAAGTCAGGACTTCTGCTAAAATCTGTATATCAGTGATGTCAAAGGTAACAAACTGTACCTTTCTGAGTCAGGTTTTCAAGCAGCTATATTTCACTGCTCTCTTAGTAAAGAATCATTATCCAACTAGAGTTGGATACAAAAGTTGGTTCCTGAGATCTATTCACATCAACATTAAACAGATCCCCTGATTTGCTTAAAAATGTGTGGCAAGGTAAAACATTTTAACTCCCCTCATTCCCATCACAGACGTTTATACTCACGGTATAAAATCTGGAAAATATAAACTAAATTTGGAAAATTAATGAAAAACCAAAAATCATCCAGAATCCCACCACCAAAATATAATGACTACTTAATATGGTGTATTTCCTTCCAATGCTTATAATTATAAAAATTAGGATCACACTCTATACTCAGTTTTGTATCCTATTTTTTTCACTTAATATTAAAAGCAGTTTTCCATGTTGTTAAATATTATAGTTTTCAAAAGCATGACTTCTAATGATTGCATAGTACTTCATGGTATGATACACAATAACTTACTTAACCATTCCCCACCTGTTGGATATTTTCACTATTATTAAATAATGCTGTGATGAATAAATGCCTAAATCAATTTTACCGTGTTTTGGCAATATAATTGATACCTAGTTATCTAAAATAACATATATGGCCAATAAATACTGCCCATAGGTCATATATTGAAGGAAGGAGACACCAAAATAATTTCAAAGTTTAAAAGACCTAATTTAGGGGCTTCCCTGGTGGCGCAGTGATTGAGAGTCCACCTGCCGATGCAGGGGACACAGGTTCGTGCCCCGGTCCAGGGAGATCCCACATGCTGTGGGGCGGCTGGGCCCGTGAGCCATGGCCACTGGGCCTACGCGTCCGGAGCCTGTGCTCCGCAACGGGAGAGGCCACAGCAGTGAGAGGCCCGCGTACCGCAAAAAAAAAAAAAAAAAAGACCTAATTTATCTTTATATTGATGAACTGGATAATGAGAAATAAATTTATAAGTGAACATAAAGTAGTTCCAACAAAGCAATAATCCATAAATGGATCAACAGTTTTCCCAAATAAGAAATCAATTTCTTTATTCATTCATTCAACCAATATTTACTGAGTGTCTATTAAGTGCCAGACATTGTTTTATAGCTAGAGATTCAGCATTCCCCATTATCCTTCCCCACCCATATGCACTCCAGTGCATAATACAGTTATAAATAATATAAAGTCCCTGGCTCCTTGATACCTTACAATCTATTAAGGGAGACAGACTATAAATAATGTAATTTCCGGGAATTCCCTGGCCGTCCAGTGGTTAGGGCTCAGCGCTTTCACCGCCGTGGACCCAGTTCAATACCAGGTCAGGGAACTAAGATTTTGCAAGCCAAGCAGCGCAGATGGAAAAAAAAAAAAAAGTAATTTCAGATAGTAAAAGATAAAAGTCAAAGGAGGAAGGCATGGGTGTGATCACTGGGGAATGGGTGGTCACATCTGAACACCAGTGGCTTCCTATTACCCTTAGGATAAAATCCAAGCTCCTTTCCTTAGTCTATGAATGCCCTATAGGAACCAGGGACTTTTTCTCTGACCAAATCTAGTCTTTTCATGCCCCTGTCCTCCTCATAACCCCCATCCACTCCTATAAACTTGCTCTCTTACCTGATGATAATTCTCTCCCCATCCCTGCATTCCCTTCCCGCATCCTCAACTCTCCTCCATAAGATACACACAGTACTTCCACTCTCATTTACTTGGCTTTATTTTTCAGATCTCAGCCTATACAGCTCCAGGAATGCCCTGGATTCCCTTAAATTTGATCAAGTGCCACTGCTATGTTCTCCCACATACTGTGCACTTCCTCTATCATGATATTATCACTCAGAATTCTGGTTATATTCTCTATCTCTCTCAGTAGGCTCTAAATTTGATAAAATCAGGAACCAAAATGTTCTCATTCCCCATCTTCCTTCCCCACCCATATGCATTCCAGTGCATAATACAGCTTCTAGCAGAGTACATGCACCACCCCCCCCCCCCCCCCCAAAAAAGAAAGCTGATTATTAATCAGTAATCACTGAGCAATAATCTGGTCTGCTCAGAAGACATGACTTGTGCCCTCAAATCAGAACACAGCTAAAGTGACTGTTTCTCAGCATCTACAAAATGCCACTGAGTTACACAGAACAACTCAGATTACCTTGCACTCACTCATTCAAATTAGACACTTAGGGATACAAAGGAAACAAGTCACAAGGGTTCCTAGACAAGTACTGGTTCTAGTTAAATGAACCTCTGCCACAGAGCAGAGAAGGCAGTGTGACCAGTGGGCACAACGGGCTACAAAAGCCCAGAGGGGCACCTCACTAGTCTGTGGGAGAGGGCAGGGAAATATTACGGAAAACATCTCATGAAACAACATCCAGGACAATGCTTAATCTGTGCTGAATTTATTTATTCAATAAATATTGGCGGGGAGACTCTTCCCGGTGGCGCAGTGGTTGAGAGTCCGCCTGCCGATGCAGGGGACACGGGTTCGTGCCCCGGTCCGGGAAGATCCCACATGCCGCGGAGCGGCTGGGCCCGTGAGCCATGGCCGCTGAGCCTGCGCGTCCAGAGCCTGTGCTCCGCAACGAGAGAGGCCACAACGGTGAGAGGCCTGCGTACCGCAAAAAAATATATATATATTGGGGGGGGGACCTACTGTGTGTCTGCCGCTATTCTAGGCACTAGAGATATAGTACTAAACAAAACAAAGTCCCTAACTTCCCAGAGGTTACATTCAAGTAATGAGACAGAAGACACAGGAGTAAAAAACAGTATAACAGATGGGGGTAAGTTGTATGGGGAAAAATAAAAGAAGGAAAGGGGTATAGAGAGTAAGAAAGGTGGGAGGGTGCCATTTTACATAAGGCATTAAGTCAGGAAAGAGAATAGCCCTCACAGATAAGGTGACATTTCAGAAACCTGAAAAAAGCAGGTAATGTAGATTCCTGGGAGGAGAGTGGTTGAGGCAGAGAGAGATGCAAGTCCAAAGGCCTCAAGGCAGGATAGCATATCTGCCAGCAAGAAGGCCAGGAAGATTAGAAGAGAATGAGAAAAGGAGAGAAGAAAGATGAGGCCAGAGAGGTAGCTGCCAGATCATGTAGAATATAGGGTCTTGAAGGTAGGAGCACTACCAGCCCATGGGGCACCTTTGTGCAGGTTAGAAAAAGATGCTCCTTTCTCTGGGAAGACGTGGCAAGAGGAACAATGAGCTGAACTGTGGCCTCCAGTCATTCCAGTGTGGGAGTGACAGCCTTGCTTATAGGAACTTAGGCTTAACTCAGAGAGAGATGAAAGCCATTGGAGAGCTGTGGGCAGAAGAATGACAGCTGACTTCCATTTTCAAAGAATTGCTCTTGCTTCTCTGTGAAGACAAGAGTCAAAGCCAGAAGAGCTACTGGGAGGCTACTACAACAGTCCAGACAAAGGTAACGGTGGCTTGAATCAGAGTGGTAGCAGAGATGGTGCGAAGTGTTCTGCATATACATTAAAAGTAAAACCAAGATTTGCTGAGGGATTCGATGTGGGTATGAGAGAACAGTCAAGGATGACCATAAAGTTTTTGGCCTCAGCGACTGAAAAGATGAAATTGCCATTTATGAGATGGGAATATCAATTTCATAAGATCAGGAGTTTGGGCCTCCCTATTAGACATGTTGAAGTTCAGGTGAGTCTGAGTGAGAAATAAGTTTATAAGTTATATGCATATAAATGACATTTAAAAGTTATGAGACAGAATGGAAAATGATCTGGGAAATGTCAACAAAGCAGAGGTCCAAGGACTGGGCATTGGGGGCACTCCAAAGTTTAGAGGTCTGGTAGATACGGAGGAAGCAACAAAGCAGCCTGGAAAAGAGCATCCAGGGAGATGGAAAAGGGAGATGGAAGTCAGGTGAAGAAAGTGTTTCAAAGAGGAAAGAAATGATCAACTGTGTCAAATGCCGCTGATAGGTCAAATAAGATTAAATGGCCATTGAATTTTGCAACACGGAGGTGATTAGTAACTACAAGAGCTATTCCACTGGAATGGTGGAGACAGAAGCCTGATAGGAGTGGGTTCAGTCAATGGAAGGAAAAGAATTAGAGACAATGAGTATAGACAACTCTTTCGAGGAGTTTTTTTGTAAAGGTGGAGATTAGCCGGCAGAATGTGGTAGGAGAGCGCTCCACAGAGAAGAAACGTTTTCTTCAGAAGTGCCAAAGCATGAAAGAGCTTGTCAGGAACTTCAATTAGCTCAGTGATAAGTGAGTAATGGGCTTGGCAGACTAGGCTGTAAGGATGGCAGAGGCTATCGCACTAAGGAATTTGGATTTTATCTTGAAGGTGAAGTAGCATTAATGACATAATCATTTTTACTTTTTATATGTGGGAGGCAAAAGTGAAGGTGGGTTAGAAAAAAACTGGGGACAGAAAAAATTAAGGAGCCTGAATTTGCGGATGGAGATGCAGAGAGGAGGGCACAGAGAGATAAAGAGAGAAGACAATTAGGAAGGTGCACGCACAGGATTCTGTGGTTGCGCAGCGGCGAAAGGCCAGGGGAAGGGAGTTAACTCGCCCGCCTTGCCAGGACAGCCCCCCACCCATACTCCAAAAACTTCCTCTTAGGACTTTCACCACAACTCCCAACTCCAAACTTGGAAATTCTACGATAAATAAACCTTTCCGCGGGTTTCCTTCCCATGTGGCCTCATCTGAAAATTTGAAAACTCCAGAGATTTTCAACATATTAAACCGTTTCACACTGCGTAGTGACATATAAGACAGAACCTTCCTTAAACTAGGAAAACATCCGGGGTTGAAGGCGGGGAGGGGCTACAGGGCGAGACAAGGACGGACAAGAGGTTTTGAGGATACCACGTATCTTTCAGCTTGCCTGGAGTGGCCACAGGTGTGCCCTTCCCTTGAAGGCCCAGGGGAGCGTCTGGTGGTAGATCGCTGATCATCCGCTCCTCACCGCCTCAGTAAGTGGGTGATAACACTTTCGGTCCCCCACTCTTCCCCAATCTCTTAACCTTCCCTCCTAGTCACTTCCGACCCGTTTCCACCTTCCCCGAAACCATTACTGCGCTTCACCCTTGCTCCCTCCTCACCTTAACCCCTTCCTCCAAATCCCGACGCCAGGGCTAAGCGATAGTAACTAGGGAGCCCAGGGCTGTGGAACTGCATCTTGGGACGAGTAGTCCTAGAGAAAAGAAAGCAGCGGAAAACTACAATTCCCAGAAGACACTTCCATTTCCTCCGTTTTCCTCATGAGGCCCCCGCAACCCCACCCCCTTTTAAAGACCCTCTTAGCCACGTCAACTACGGTGGAAAATTCCTTTAAAGACATTTTTAAGTTGCTTAAATCTGCTATTTCAAGAGCGTTCTGAAAGCTAAAGTGAGAAATAAGCCAGGCTACCAGGAGGAGAAATGAGGTCACGACCTGGTCTGGCACGTGGCTGGACAGCCGCTGCGACAGCACTCAGGCACTTGACGTGGCCGCCTAGGAGGCGGGGCCTCCGCGGGGGCCCCGGGAAAGCGCGTGGGCCGGCACGACGCCCTTCTCTTCGGATCCGCCATCTGCGGTGAGTAGGTATTCTCGGGTGTTCTCCGGCCCGCGGCCTGCCGTCGCGCCTCCTCTGTCCCCAACCTCACCGTTTCCTCCTTTTCCTCACCCTCAGGTGGCACCGCCGCCAATATGCAGATTTTCGTGAAGACCCTGACGGGGAAGACCATCACTCTCGAGGTACGGGCCAGGCGGTGGGAGAAGTCGCGGCGTGAAGGAGGCGGTATCTGAGGCGGGTTTCGGCACGCGCGCTGCTTTCCGCCTTAGAATACGTTTCCGAACCTGGGTTCTAAAACTTGGCCGTAAAGGGAGGGTTGTTTAACTGAGCTGGGGATTAGGGCAGGTTTCCGATGCCTAAAGTCCGAGTCTGTCGCCTCTGGTGGTTCCCGCCAGGTAGCCGCTGCCGGGGTCGCGAGGCGGGAGGGTGGCGCCCCCCGCAGGTGGGCGCGAGCAAGTGTGGCCCGGCCGCCGCCGCCCGGGGCTGGGGGAGGGAGCGTGCGCTCCGGGGAGCCTGTCTCCAGCTGCGTGAGCCAATGGCTCTACTAGGTAGGTTTCAGCCCCCACCGCCTCGGCTCCCTGATGACCTTCCAACTGAATGGAGCAATTACTCTAGTTCCTGATTGTGTTACCTATACGTTTGCACTTCAAAACTTCTAGGTCGAACCCTCGGATACAATAGAAAACGTAAAGGCCAAGATCCAGGACAAGGAAGGCAAGTTAACATTTTCTGATTCAGAAAAACTCACCTACAGAGGCCCTGTCAGGCGCTAGACATACCTGCTCTTTGTGGGGTGGGAAGAGGTCAGATTGACAAAAATGCTTTTGGAATAACACAGTAGACAGACGTTTATCAGCGTGGAGCCAAGCTGTAGTACCTTTCACGTGTGTGATTTTGGACGTGTTAGTTAATTTACACATGTATACTTATTTGTAAAGTGGTTAACATGTATTAGGATTAAATGAGATAAACCGTTTAAACATTTACAATTACACTTTCCCTGTAGTAAGAACTCACTGATGGATGTTAGTACCATTTATTTGATTCAAGATTATAAATCTTGAGCAGATATGCTTGTTTTGCAGTCACTTAATTTGTTTGTTCAACTTGTTTCCCATTAGGAATTCCTCCTGACCAGCAAAGACTGATCTTTGCTGGCAAGCAACTAGAAGATGGACGTACTTTGTCTGACTACAACATTCAAAAGGTCTGTTTGGAGGAAACCATCCCTTTAACTATAATTTATTTTTTTATTTTTGCCTGTGTTGGGTCTTTGTTGTGGCACGTGGGCTTTCTGTAGTTGCGGCGAGAGGGGGCTACTCTTGCGTGGGCTTCTCATTGTGGTGGCTTCTCTTGTGGAGCACGGGCTTCAGGCATACAGGCTTCAGTAGTTGTGGCGTACAGGCTCAGTAGTTTTGGCCACGCGCTTAGTTGCTCTGCGGCGTGTGGGATCGTCCTGGACCAGGGCTTGAACCCGTGTCCCCTGCATTGGCAGGTGGATTCTTAACCACTGCGCCACCAGGGAAGTCCCTTAAGTATGAATATTTGTATCTTAATTTGGAAATTTTGACTAATACGCAAAAAGTGGGGAGAATAGCATTAGATTAGCAGTAGATTCCCAGGTGATTGATACACCAACATTTGAGAAGTGCTGCTATATTCTTCTACGTTTTGGATTTTGCGTATTGCATCCCATGGTGTAATTTAATGTGTTCCTTAATCTGTCTATGAACTAAGACTTTATATAGGAATCAGATACCTCTTTTTTTCTGACTCCCCCACGTGTGGGTGTACTTCCTGTCATATCCAGTTAGAATGTGCATGATGCTGGTTGTCCATTCTCCACGGAGCAGTAGCATTAATGTAACCATTTTTAAAGGCTGTTTTGTTCTCTGTTCAATAACAGGAGTCCACTCTTCATCTTGTGTTGAGACTTCGTGGTGGTGCTAAGAAAAGGAAGAAGAAGTCTTACACCACTCCCAAGAAGAACAAGCATAAGAGAAAGAAGGTTAAGTTGGCTGTCCTGAAATACTATAAGGTGAGCCAAATTATTAAAGGTAATAATTTATCTCTGGTTTCAAACTCTTTAATATAAAAGTCCGGGGTTTTTTCCTGTTTGGTATTTGAATAAGCTGTATATAATGGGGTTTACCTCTAGGTACTTTATTCCAAACTAAGTTTCTGATTTTGAAGTCAGATCTGGGTTCAGGTCTTAACTCTGTCCACTTCTTGCAAGGCTGGGCTTTAAAAACTCTGAACTTTTTTCTTGTAGTAATTATTGGTGAGAATTTGGGGTGCTTCGGTTTGTAAGTACTAAGAAATATCACTGTTGTGTGATTAAAAGGTTAAATACTTTGAGTCATTTAAGCTAGACTTCACAGTATGTTGTAAGATTATCTTAACAGCAAGTTTATGCTTTTTAGGTGGATGAGAATGGCAAAATCAGTCGCCTTCGTCGGGAGTGCCCCTCAGATGAATGTGGTGCTGGAGTTTTTATGGCCAGCCACTTTGACAGACATTATTGTGGCAAATGTTGTCTGACCTATTGTTTCAACAAACCAGAAGACAAGTGATTGTATATTGGTTAATAAAAGACATGAACTAATGAACTACCGTTTAAATGTTGAGTTTTATTCCAGTGATTTTAAAAGTGGGTTTTAAAGATCAAATTAATCACACTATTTTCTTAGGTAACCTGTACTTGGCAGAATTATGTTGTATTTGATACCAGCTGTCTAGATACAGGTCAGTTTCTTTGTACCTCAGCAGTACTGACTTTTTTTTTTTTTTTTTTTTTTTGGCTGTATGCGGGCCTCTCACCGTTGTGGCCTCTCCCGTTGCGGAGTACAGGCTCCGGACGCGCAGGCTCAGCGGCCATGGCTCACGGGCCCACCTGCTCCGCAGCTTGTGGGATCTTCCCGGACCGGGGCACGAACCAGTGTCCCCTGCATTGTCAGGCGGACTCTCAACCACTGCGCCACCAGGAAAGACCCCAGTACTGACATTTTTGACTGATAATTTTTGGTTGTAGGGACTTTCCTGTATATCACAGGGTGATGAACAGCATCCCTGGTCTGTACCCACTTGCTGCCAGTAGCACACTACCCCTCCCCACAACCAAAAGTATCCAGACATTGCCAAATGACCCCTAGGGGTGGGGAGGAACCTCCCCCACCCCCAGACTGAGAAACATTGGTTTGTGTGAATTGGTATTATAACCTTGCCTAAAAAGAAGCTACAATGTATTGACACTTGTTTCCTACAAAGGAAGTTTAAAGGTGGCAGAGCTTGCAAGTTACCAGTTAAAAAATTCATCTGCATATGGCTGATTCACTTTGTTGTACAACAGAAGCTAACAGTATTGTGAAGCAATTACACTCCAATAAAGATGTTACAAAAAATTCACCCAAAGTCCTTTAATGTTGAGTGTGAACTCCTCTTTGGAATTTTAAGTTCTGAGGTTTGCTCATTGGTACTGCTGACACTGAAAAATAATGGTTTCACAGTATTTGACTGGTACCATATTTTATCTATGGAGCGCAGTTCAGGGAGGCTTGCTTCTTGATATCAATGAACTAAAGTAAGCACTTGAAGTTTATTAAACTGATTATTAGATTCACTGATATACCAATAATTAACAATTCCCTTTAGCCATATTCTTTCCCTACTCCAGGATTTCCAGTTGGACGCGTCCTTAAATAAGATTTCCTAATTCTGTAGCATTTTGACAGTTACACCTGTTAATGCTCGGCAGAACTTTCTGACCAGTGGTGAGTGGTGAATTATTACCTTTAGTAAGATGAAACTAGTTGCTCTGTAATAAAGCAAAACATTTAATCATTTACATTTTTAACATAATTTTAAAATCCTGGGTCCCAAGAAGTCTTGGCTAGAACTTCCTTTTCTTCATAACAGACAATATCATCTCCCACTTTAAATTCTATCTTTTCTTCATCCAAACTAAGACCACAATCCATTCCAGTTTTGATGACTGAAATATCATCTTTATGGTGTTTCAGTGAGATTAATGAGCCTTAAAAAAGAGAAAAAAACTTACGGTTCATATAACTCAAATAAGTACCCAACAAGTGCAGTTGTAGTCTGGTGTTAAAAGGAAAATTACACTGAAATTCTTACAGATTTTACAGTCCTGTCATGTTAAAAGATGGGACGAAATACCAGGGAAACCAAAGAAAAATGAAGTTTGCTATAAACAAGATGTGATTTGTAGCGAAAAGTACTGTCTCCCTTTTCAAAGGTTAACACTTTACAGGGGATGGGGGTTATACTCGGGACTTGAAGAATGAGTTACACCAGGATGAAGACGATACAGGCACAAGCTTGTTAAAGGATGAAAATATAATGATGTGGATCCAAGTGTAGGAGAGACATGGCTGGAAAGGTAGTTTGGGGCCAATTTTTAGAACCTTAGAAAGATTTGGGGACTAACAATCCTGGGAGAGTCATTAGGACTGGAGGCCAGATATGAGTTAGCAAGAAGTGGCCTGAACTAGGATTATGGAGTGAAAGATTTCAGTTACCCAGGATCATCAGGTTTTCGTGACTGGATATGATATTATAGAAACAGTTTTATGTTGCTTACCCTTCCAAATAACATGTCCATTACGTATTAATTTAAATTTTTTTTGTTTTTCTAACTGTCCCTTTTGGACTCTGCAGCCGGCCACAGGAACTTTTTTCTTCCCTTCTGTTATAGAGAAGGTAGCTAGTATAGAAGCCTCACCTTTAGGAAGAAGAGAACATTAAGTATACAGAAAACAAAAATTCTGAGAAATACATAATTTCTGACATTCGGCAGAGTAACAGTTAAAGGTGTGAGAAAAATTACAAACTCGTGCAAGAAAGTCCTAATTTTCTCTAACTCAACCAACTTTATTTTCCTGGCCAATATTAGAAATAAAAACATGAAAATCCTTGGGTATTCTTGGAAAAGAAAATCAACAAAACTACATGTGCTTACCAAAAGAATGAAAAATAAATGAAATGTTCACTTTTTTGGATGAATAAAATGCAATAGAAGATGCTATCAGTTGATAAGATTAGTATAATTCCTGTCTGCTCCATGAAAACCTAATTTTCAGTTGTCCCTCAATATATTTTCTTGAATGGACCATCCGTTGTTGCCTGATTTATTTTTAATCTCACCATGGGTAATTTATATACACTTAAGAGTACTAATTCTGTGAGTCAGCTTAATTTTTTTTTACTGACTGAAATTTAAAACAAATTCCAATAATGACACAGTACCACACACTATAATGTACCAGTTTTCTAGAATTAGTGTTATTTGGTGCTCTCACTTACCCCTGGAAACCCTCATATGACTCAGTTTTCCAAATTGCTCTTAGCACAAGAACATACAAATCTCTGTGATCATGTTAAGTAGGTCAGAAAAGCCTAAAATAAATCTGTACTGTGGACCAAAAATGCAAATACTGAGTCTCATCATGAGGAAACAGACAAATCCAAATTAAAGTACATTCAACAAAATCACTGGCCTATATACACTTCAAAAATGTCAAGGTCAAAAGACTGAAGAACCTAATCTGTGATCCTGGACTGAGGGAAAAATATATATTTATAAAGTACATTATATAGGGACAATGAACAAAATTGGAACATGGACTGTGACTTAGATAAGAGTATTAATGTTCAATTTCCTGAGTTTGATACTTGTTGACTTAGATAAGAGTATTAATGTTCAATTTCCCGAGTTTGATACCTGTTCTGCAGTTTTATACGAGAACATCCTTGTGTTTAGGAAATGCAAATATTTATGGGCAAATGAACACAATATCTCAAATTTACTATCAAATGGCCCAGAAAAAAAAGTGTGTGTGTGTGTGTATGTTTGAAGGGGGAGGACTAAAGCAAATGGGGCAAAATGTAAACAACTGGTGAACTGGGAGGGAGTTGCTTATACTTTTCCAGTAATTTTTCTGGAAATATAAAACTATCATCAAAATTAAAAGTTAACCAAAAATATCCGGATGTGGGGAGGAAAAAGAAGAGATAAACTGATTCAGTCCATCTGAAATAAATTTAGCCGTTAAACTGGCCAAGGGATATGTTAGAAAAAAATATTTTTAAATGTTTAATATTTAAATGTAAATTTTCTTCTCATGGTGGATTTCTTTGCCAGCTGCTGGACAAAATCAATGGCTCCTTCCACAACACTGTTAATAATGTTTATGCCTCCCATCCCAGTCTACTCTGTATTACAATTAGTGGTTTATGTCTAACTAGAGGGCAAGTTCTTACTGCCTTATTTGCCTTTGTATCCTCACAGCCAAAAGCACAACACCTTGCAGAGGGCAGGTGTTTATAATTCATACGAAGTTACACTGAACCTTTATCTATAGTAGTCATTTTTTTCTAGAACACAGGGTATGTGTTGGAACAGTGAGCATATTTAAATAGCAAAATACATTTCCCTTAAACTTTGCTTTCAAGTGTTATTTACAGCAGGTTAGATACGAATGTTTAAACATTCAGTGAACACTCACCTATTGTGTGCTCTTCCACAATGCAGGGCAATCTACTGCTCAGTTCCTCCTGCAAATCTTCAATAAGACGGTAAATGATTTTGTGAAGTTTAATTTTTACTCCTTTTTTTGCAGCCGACTGCTGGATAACATTGCCTGCATTCACATTGAAGCCGTATATAACACCTGGAAAGCATAAATACAATAAAGTAGCACAAATATTGCATTAAACAGTTTGTCTTCCAAGCAAAAACTCAAATCTAAATTTTTTGCTTCTATGTAAATTAAAAGTGAGTAGGAGAGGTGAATTCTATAATTTTTTCTCATGAAAACTAGTTAATTTAGTTAATTTTTTAAATTAATGAAAGGATTTTATAAATTCTATTGTGGCTTATTAAACAAGGAAGATTTATGATTTTTAAATCCAATCATTTAAGGAACATTATTTTAAATGACCATTATGTGCAAGGCAATATGCTAAACGAAGCTTTCATACCAGAGAAATAAGAAAAAAATGATTAGAACTGAAATACTACATTATTTTAATAACAATTCTGTTATTAATTATAATCTTATAGTCTACAACTTTTGTTGTTTGCTCTTAGATATTCAGCTGGCCAAAAGATATTCAAAAAATACAGATGACCCTTGAGCAACACAGGTGTTAGGGGCACCAATCCTCCGTGTAGTTGAAAATCCGAGCATAATTTATGGTTGGCCCTCCATATAAATGCGGTTCCTCCACATCCGAGGAGTTAACCAACCTCGGATCTTGTAGTACACTGTAATATTTACTATTGAAAAAATCCACGTATAAGTGGACCCGCAGTTCAAACCCGGTTCAAGTGTCAACTGTAGTTACTTAATTGGTAAAGTTCAAGAGTTGTTTAAGAAATGAAAGAAGTTCCATGGAGCTGACCATTTTACCAAAGAACAAATAATGTATTCAACTGCAAATACCTTGGGGGTGTGAAAAAAAATTTATGCAAATGGCTTAATCAGGAGAAAAACAGAACCACCTTGAAAGTCTTATTATCATTAAGAAATCATTCAATGCATCATACTATCTGCATTAATAGAAAAGTCAGTGCCCATAAAATACTTTGAAATAACCAACATTATTGAAAACATCTTTTCAGTAGTAAAGGTAACATCTAATTCTAATCAAGTTAGGTCATGAAGTACCCCCTTCCTAAATGATTCATTAATCACTCAATAACACTGGTGCTTTGCCTAGATGTTAAACCTAGTTAAAGCGACAGTCATGCAGTCATGAGTCCCCTTTCCGTGTATCGTAAGTTTGACTCACAAACAGTCCCCTTGTCTTCCAGGCATATAAAGCTAAAAAGAGCTTTTGATTTAAGAAAAATATAAGTTGTAAAATTATAAGTAAACAAAAATAGGCAACCAAAAGTAAAAGATGAAGGAAAGTACTGAGTAGGCTGATTGCAGATTAAAGAGCATTCAAAAAGTCTAAATGAAAGAGAGAGAGAACCAAGCCTGGCTTGGGGGGGAACCTGGAAGTGGTGAGGAGGCAGTAATGGTACATTCAAGAAATACTACTGGGGCTTGAAATAGTTCCCCAAAGTTTCAGTACAACAATGACAGCCACAGTGGAGCTGTGGCTGCAATACTGCACATCCCACTTGCTCTCAATCACTAGCTGAGACTGAACTGCAACAGGAAGGGGGATACCGATGGGGGTAAAATGTCAGGTGTGACTAGCCCAGCAAGAAAAGACAGAAGCAAATGGTTCAGAGTATGCTCTAGGGAACACAGTTAAACAAACAGGAAATGGAATCCTCACCATGAAATGTTTCAGCAAGGTTAACATCATTTTCACTAATATCACCCACACCAGAATGTACTAACTCTAGTTCACACTCATGTGAAGCATCATAGGTATCCATAATGTTCAAAATGGCCTCTACGGAACCGTCAACATCACCTAAATGCAGCAAAAGTTTAAAATTATTGGTGATAGGAGTTAGAAATTAACAGACACAAAAATGACAATAATCTATTTAAAGCAATAATAGGAATAGCATTTACCATAAAATCCACTTTTCTTTAGGTTTAGCATTATAAATATCTACTTAACTGAATAAAGTATAAAGAACCAAATGTACATTTACAACAAAATCCACTAGATAAATGTTTACTAAGGAAATCTCCCCCAGTGAGGGGGTGGGCAAAAAGGGTGAAGAGGGTCAAAAGGTACAAACTTCCAGTTATAAAGTAAATATAATATGCAGCATGGTGACTATAGTTAATAACACTGCACTGCATATTTGAAAGTTGCTAAGAGAGTAGATATTAAAAGTGCTCATCACAAGAAAAAAAATTTTATAACTAAGGATGGTGACAGATGTTAACTAGACTTATTATGGTGATCATTTCACCATATATGCAAATACTGAATCATTATGAAACTAATATAATGTTACATGTCAAGTATATCTCAATTTTTAAAAATTCCCCCCCAAAATACTGAAATCATTTTGGCTTAAATTTAATGGCTCAAATTAATTGTGAGAATGACGAAATACATATATTCCTAAAATGAGATGTAAAGTAAAATCTTTTAAAAGTCACCTTTAATAATTATAGGAAGTGCATTTGAATCTCCTCCTGCTTTTTCTTTTGGCTTTAAGGGTTGCTGCTGTTTTTTTATTTTGTACTTTATAAATGACCTTGCCTTCCAGTGCAAAGTGCCATACTTCTCGCGGGCTTTCCGATGTGCTTCTTGGTGTTCCTTTCGCTTTTCTTCTATTAATTCCAGATCCTCTTTATTTTTTTCCTGTTCTTGCTCATACTTCCTCCAGTGAACAACTTCACGTGCCCTTGGCTTTATGGGGAAAAAAAAAAAGGGAATTATTTAACTAAATAGAAACCAGTATCTGCTGGTTTCTTCCTCCACTATGAAATTAGCCTAGCTCATATATGAAACCACTAATTTTAAAGTTTTAAGAAACTTACAAAACTTTTATATGGAGGCTTTGTGTAAATTTGAAATTATTTAAAAATCTTATCTCAAATTTTAAAAGCCAAATTTTACAGCCAAACTCTAGAATGACATCACTAGCCCCCCCTCACAGCCTGTTATAGTACTGAATTATTTATTACTTATTTGGTATAACATTATAGATTGATATTTTAAATCATTACATCATATCTACTGTAGAGGAATTAAGCTTGATATACCTCAGATTCTACTTCAAGAATTTCATCTCCTGCAGAAGGGAAGTCTCTCCAGCCTATAATTCCCACTGGCATGCTGGGACAGGCCTCATCGATTACTTTGTCATTTTCATCAAACATTAAGCGTACTTTTGCCCAACTCTTTCCAGCAACCAGAATGGAGCCTTTTCTCAAAGTTCCTCTTTGAATTATAGCTGTAGTAACAGGACTAATATGAAAATAAAAGTATATATTCTTAATGCCATAATCATGGTGTAATGGCACTTTCTCAGTAAAGATATCTTTATGAGATTAAAAAATATATAATTTGAACACACAGGGTTAATTCCACCACTTCTCAACTTCTCAAACAGTTTTTCATACTATAAAGACATTTCTTCAAAATTACAAGCTAAATGTCCATCAATGGAAGAATGGATAAAGAACATGCAGTATATATGTATAATGGAATATTATAAAACCTTAAAGAAAATCCTGTCACATGCTAGAATACGGATGAACCTCCTGGACAAACATATGCTAAATGAAATAAGCCAGTCAAAAAGGACAATATTATATGATTCCAGTCATATGAAGTATCTAAGGTAGTCAAAATCATGGAAACAACTACTGAAAGATAGCTGCCAAAGGCTGGGTGGAGGAGGGCGGGGAAATTAGTGCTTCATGGGTATAGAGTTTGTTTTGCAAGATGAAAAAGTTCTAGAGATCTGTTGCACAACAATATGAATATACTTAATACTACTAAACTGTACGTTTCAAAATGGTTAAGATGGTAAATTTAATATTATGCAATTTTTACAATTAAAAAAAAAGAAAACAAAAAACATTTCTTGTAAGGTTATGGTAGTGAAGGGTGCAGACAGCTAAGTGTTCTGACAGAATCCTAATCTCCTTTCTATAATTTGTTAAGCAGTGAAAAGACCTCTTTTGCTAATAGGGAGGGAAATTAAAGAAGAGAACACTATTCCAACAATCTTACTATATATTAATGGGTAAGAACATAAAGAATTTAGAAACCCTAAAATGCAACAATTGCCATTTTATTCCAAGTTATGTTAGTCTATAAGGCTTTAGCAATTCAGTTAAGTCAGTGGGGAGAAAAAACGATATCAAGCAAATTGAACTACTAAGTCACCTAGATATGACTACTAAATGTATACACATATTTGCTAAGATCTACTGATCACTGCATGTTTGTGTTCTGTGTGCCAGTGCAATAAAATACTTTTTATTTTTATTTAAAATATATATATATTTTTTGGCTGCACCGCAGCGGCATGCAGAACTTACCCAACCAGGCATCGAACCCGTGCCCCCTGCAGTGGAAGCGTGGAGTCTTAACCACTGGACTGCCAGGGAAATCCATATTTTTTAAAACAAATGCTTTGAAAATATTGTTCAGGGACTAACAATAATGTGCAATAAACATAAGATGCTGTTATATAATCAAGTCACAAAAACAATGAAATAAAATTATTAGAAAGCAACCATTTTAACAGACCTACCCTCTTCCTTTGTCTGTGAAAGATTCTATTACTGTTCCTTCAACTGGACCAGTAGGGTCTGCTTTCAATTCTAACATTTCTGCAAGAGCAATTGTTGCCTCTGCCAAAGCCATCATGTTATCGCCCTTTAATAACAAAACAACCTCTTAATATACATTAATAAATAATATCTGTAAATGTAAATACCAGGATCAGAAAGCCAAATAATCCTCGACAGTTACACTTTTCTCTTTAAGCATTAAAAACATGAATTACACAATACTACGAGACTAGATATCAATCACAGGAAAAAAATCTGTAAAACATACAGACACACGGAGGCTAAACGATACACTACTTAATAACCAAGAGATCACTGAAGAAATCAATGAGGAAATAAAAAAATACCTAGAAACAAATGACAATGAAAACACGACAAACCAAAACCTATGGGATGCAGCAAAGCAGTTCTAAGAGGGAAGTTTATAGCAATACAATCCTACCTCAAGGCACAAGAAACATCTCAAATAAACAACCTAACCTTACACCTAAAGCAACTACAGAAAGAAGAACAAAAAAACCCCAAAGTTAGCAGAAGGAAAGAAACCATAAAGATCAGAAATAAATGAAAAAGAAATGAAGGAAAAAATAGCAAAGATCAATAAAACTAAAAGCTGGTTTTTTGAGAAGATAAACAAAATTGATAAACCATTAGCCAGACTCATCAAGAAAAAAAGGGAGAGGGCTTCCCTGGTGGCGCAGTGGTTGAGAGTCCGCCTGCCGATGCAGGGGACACGGGTTCGTGCACCAGTCCGCTAAGATCCCACATGCCATGGAGCAGCTGGGCCTGTGAGCCATGGCAGCTGAGCCGCGCGTCCGGAGCTTGTGCTCTGCAACAGGAGAGGCCACAAGAGTGAGAGGCCCAAGTACCGCAAAAAAAAAAAAAAAAAAAAAGGGAGAAGACTCAAATCAATAGAATTAGAAATGAAAAAGCAGAAGTAACAACTAACACTGCAGAAATACAAAGGATCATGAGAGATTACTATAAGCAACTATATGCCAATAAAATGGACAACCCGGAAGAAATGGACAAATTCTTAGAAAAGCGCAACTTTCCAAGACTGAACCAGGAAGAAATAGAAAATATAAACAGACCAATCACAAGCACTTGAAATTGAGACTGTGATTAAAAATCTTCCAAGAAACAAAAGCTCAGGATCATATGGCTTCACAGGCGAATTCTATCAAACATTTAGAGATGAACTAACTCCTATCCTTCTCAAACTCTTCCAAAATATAGCAGAGGGAGGAACACTCCCAAAATCATTCTACGAGGCCACCATCACCCTGATACCAAAACCAGACAAAGATGTTACAAAGAAAGAAAACTACAGGCCAGTATCACTGATGAACATAGATGCAAAAATCCTCAACAAAATACTAGCAAACAGAATCCAACAGCACGTTAAAAGGATCATACACCATGATCAAGTGGGGTTTATCCCAGGAATGCAAGGATTCTTCAATATACGCAAATCAATCAATGTGATACACCATATTAACAAACTGAAGAAGAAAAACCATATGATCAACTCAATAGATGCAGAAAAAGCTTTTGACAAAATTCAACACCCATTTATGATAAAAACTTTCCAGAGGGTAGGCATAAAGGGAACTTACCTCAACATAATAAAGGCCATTATGTGACAAACCCACAGCCAACACCTTTCTCAATGGTAAAAAACTGAAAGCATTTCCACTAAGATCAGGAACAAGACAAGGCTGCCCAGTCTCACTGCCATTATTCAACATAGTTTTGGAAGTTTTAGCCACAGCAATCGGAGAAGAAAAAGAAATAAAAGAAATCCAAATTGGAAAAGAAGAAGTAAAGCTGTGACTGTTTGCAGATGACATGATACTATACATAGAGAATCCTAAAGACTCTACCAGAAAACTACTAGAGGTAATCAATGAATTTGGTAAAGTAGCAGGATACAAAATTAATGCACAGAAATTTTTGAGTTCCTATACACTAATGATGAAAAATCTGAAAGAAAAATTAAGGAAACACTACCATTTACCACTGAAACAAAAAGAATAAAATAGCTAGAAATAAGCCTACTTAAGGAGATAAAAAACCTGTATGCAGAAAAATATAAGACATTGATGAAAGAAATTAAAGATGATACAAACAGATGGAGAGATATACCATGTTCTTGGATTGGATGAATCAACATTGTGAAAATGGCTCTAATACCCAAAGCAATCTACAGATTCAATGCAATCCCTATCAAACTACCAATGGCATTTTTCATAGAACTAGAACAAAAAATTTCACAATTTGTATGGAAACACAAAAGACCCCGAATAGCCAAAGCAATCTTGAGAAAGAAAAATGGAGCTGGAGGTATCAGGCTCCCAGACTTCAGACTATACTACAAAGCTACAGTAATCAAGACAGTATGGTATTGAACAAAAACATAAATACAGATCAATGGAACAGGATAGAAAGCCCAGAGGTAAACCCACACACAAATGGTCACCTTATTATTGATAAAGGAGGCAAGAATATACAGTGGAGAAAAGACAGCCTCTTCAATAAGTAGTACTGGGAAAACTGGACAGCTACATGTAAAAGAATGAAATTAGAACACTCCCTAACACCATACACAAAAATAAACTCTAAATGGATTAAAGACCTAAATGTAATGCCAGGCACTATACAACTCTTAGAGGAAAACATAGGCAGAACACTCTATGACATAAATCACAGCAAGATCCTTTTTGACCCACCTCCTAGAGAAATGGAAATAAAAACAAACATAAACAAATGGGACCTAATGAAACTTAAAAGCTTTTGCACAGCTAAGGAAACCATAAACAAGATGAAAATACAACCCTCATAATGGGAGAAAATATTTGCAAATGAAGCAACTGACAAAGGATTAATCTCCAAAATTTACAAGCAGTTCATGCAGCTCAGTATCAAATAAACAAACAACCCAATCCAAAAATGGGCAGAAGACCTAAATAGACATTTCTCCAAGAAGATATACATATTGCCAACAAGCACATGAAAGAATGCTCAACATCATTAATCATTAGAGAAACACAAGTCAAAACTACAATGAGGTATCACCTCACACCGGTCAGAACGGCCATCATCAAAAAATGTACAGGAATAAATGCTGGAGAGGCTGTGGAGAAAAGAGAACCCTCTTGCACTGTTGGTGGGAATGTAAATTGATACAGCCACTGTGGAGAACAGTATGGAGGTTCCTTAAAAAACTAAAAGTAGAACTACCATATGACCCAGCAATCCCACTACTGGGCATATACCCTGAGAAAACCATTGTTCAAAGAGTCATGTCCCACAATGTTCACTGCAGCTGTATTTACAATAGCCAGGACATGGAAGCAACCTAAGTGTCCACAGACAGATGAACAGATGAAGAAGATGTGGCACAGTTACACAATGGAATATTACTCAGCCATAAAAAGAAACGAAACTGAGTTATTTGTAGTGAGGTGGATGGACCTAGAGTCTGTCATACACAGTGAAGTAAGTCAGAAAGAGAAAAACAAATACTGTATGCTAACACATATATATGGAATCTAAAAAAAGAAAGAAAAAATGGTTATGAAGAACCTAGGGGCAGGACCGGAATAAAGATGCAGACGTAGAGAACGGACTTGAGGATACGGGGAGGGGGAAGGGTAAGCTGGGACAAAGTAAGAGTGGCATGGACTTATATACACTACCGAATGTAAAACTGATAGCTAGTGGGAAGCTGCCGCATAGTACAGGGAGATCAGCTCAGTGCTTTGTGACCACCTAGAGGGGTGGGATAGGGAGGGTGGGAGGGAGATGCAAGAGGGAGGAGATATGGGGATATATGTATAGCTGATTCACTTTGTTATAAAGCAGAAACTAACACACCATTGTAAAGCAATTATACTCTAATAAAGATGTTTAAAAAAAACCCCAAAACATGAATTACCCTATTTGACAGAAGGAAAGAAGGAAGGGAGGGAGGAAGGGAGGGAGGGAAGAAGAGATAAGCAAGAAAATCTGACCCAGGGACTGATCTTGCAACGAAAAGTGGCTATACATATATAGATAGATATTATATATATATTATTTATCTATCTATCTATATATTTTTAAGAATATCTACTAGAGTTCGTTAATACCCTTTTTTTTTGCGGTACACGGGCCTCTCACTGTTGTGGCCTCTCCCGTTGCGGAGTACGCACAGGCCCAGCGGCCATGGCTCACAGGCCCAGCTGCTCCGCGGCATGTGGGATCTTCCCGGACCGGGGCATGAACCCGCGTCCCCTGCATCGGCAGGCAGACTCTCAACCACTGCGCCACCAGGGAAGCCCTGTTAATACCCTTTTATAAACACATGCTTCTTCCACCCTCTGTCCTCCATCTGTCTCTACAATTGTGTTTTCTTCCTCTCACTTTCTTTACAGTGCTACATTACAATTGAAGTTCTATCCAATTGAACAAGCTTTCACTGATTTCATCGGATCCACTCAAGAATCCTGTAAAATAAGTAAATCAAACACTACTTACTCTTATTAAATAAATAAGGAGAAAAAACACTGACTAGACCCAAACTATAACCTACACTCTGCAACTACCCAGCTGTACAACCTTGGAAAATCAGTTCACCTCCCGGATCACCTTTCCTCAACTGTAAAATGAAGGAGCTAGAGTAGATGACTCTTTCACCTTTAATGGTCTATGTCTACTATGCTTTCTAAGTCTCCAAGATCATGCAGCTGATTAACGGGTGATGGAACTGGAACTGATGGACAAGGGATTTTTCCATTCTCCATGTCAGCTAAGAGCTTGCTCACAATTGTTACAATATAAAGCAACAGAAACAACTGTAACAAAACTAACTAAACACTTTTCTTACCCATCTACTTATTCCTAGTATTTATTCCAATTTACAAAATGCTGCTCTGAAAAGCAGAGCTGGGGTTGTTTCTTTGCATGAAGAGTCCTCTATTCTTCATCAGAAAAGAAGGCCTCATCTTACTTCCCTGCCACTCTCTTACCTCCATTCCCAGGATTCATCTTTGCCATGCCTCCAAATTTGCCTAAGCAGCTTTACATCTATCTATCTACTCATCTAATATCTGGGCAGAAAAGGTGGTCATGTCTTCAAATGTTCTAATCTTGCCATCTGGTTTTCACATCGTAGTAACAATCAAGGTATAGCAGAAAGAAGGCAAGTAAGGTGGCATTTTATGAGTTTCAGAGAAAAAGAGGCATAATTTTACTATTAACAGAGGCATAACTTCTAATCATCTTGGAGGTAACAAATTTAGGAAAAGTAAAGATAAAATGAGACTTAATTGGAGGAAGGTGGCCAAATAAAGTACAATTTCTTCATCGAATGATCAGAAGAAAAAGAGTCCATATTACGAGTAAACCATGGAATATGGTAAGAATGGACAAAAAAGGAAATTTTTACTTAGCAGCAACCTGTATAGGACAAGAGAACTGGAAAATGCTATCACAAAGCAGGTACTGAGCTTCCTTGGTGTATTTTATCCAGAAGAGAATAATTGGTAATTTAAAAGAAAATGGAATTATCATAAGTAACATTATAAAACTTACAGCAATTTAGTTCACAGAAACACTGAGTCAATCAATAACAAACTGAACCCAAATATTTCAACACTGTATTAGTAAAAAGTTATATTTGTTTAAATTTCTCTTAAATGCCCTAAGACCTATCCTATAGTTTTTCACTTTAAAAACAAGCACTTTTTATTACCAACTGAATTTCGTTTCTGCTTGAAAGTCTTTATCCTACTATTATCCTATCCCCACATCATTCACCACTTATTCTCCTCATTCTAAGTACCTCGTAGTAAGAAAAGCATAGGTAAACCTGACCCCCTCTGGACTGATGACTAATCTTTCTGAGCCTAATTTCTAATCTGCCAAACTAGGATAATGATACCAGCTTTGCCTAGTTCTCAGAGAATTTTTAAAACAACAACAGAAATTATGGATGTCAAAATGTTCTCTAGGTATAAGGCACTATGTGCATGATGTGTAGCACTCCCATCTGAACACACTGTCTCTGAGGTGCCCGCACTTACCGTGAGTGCAGAAACATGCACTGCTTGAACGTCACCTCCATAATCCTCACATACCACATCATAAGCTAGCAGTTCTTTTTTCACTTTCTCAGGATCAGCCTCAGCTTTGTCACATTTGTTTATGGCAAGGACAATAGGAACTGAAAGAGACAGAGTTAAGAAGAGTGCAAATGACGACACTTCAACTCCAGGTATTCACAATGAAAGATGCCAACGTTTTCTGGCTTTCTCTTGACCCAGCGGATGTATTTATCTAACAAAAGACCTAAAAAGACCCACTTTACACCCACCTACTCTGCTTTATACACATGAAGGATTCCAGATGAGAGATGTCAAAACTGCAATTATAAGATTCTGTATTAAGAATACGCAATTATGATTATTAAAAAACAAAAACACACAACAGTACTTAGAGTAGAGAAAGGACTATCCTTAAATCTGAAAGCAAGATCAGCAACTACACTAGAGATAATCTCCAGAAAAAAAAAAATCAAGAGAAGATTCTAATTCTAATACCACTAGACCATTTGCCTCTTCTTTCCAGGAGTTCCCTGTTAAAACCCAACATCTCACCCTGGAGTGAAACTAAGTACCATTATTGTAAACTTTCTTTTAGGATTTACAGCAATTCTTTCTTCATACACACTTAGCTGAGTGACTGACACAAAGTAGATTCTCAATAAATGTTTACTTAATGAATGAACCAAATAATCTTATAATCTACTTGTCATTACTAAACATACCCTTTCATTAGAGAACTCACACAAAATTCTAGGAGATAATTCTCTGATTGAGTTTCACCAACTCTGCAATTTTCTCAGGTATCAAAGGAATAGAAATTGAAAATAGACACGAAAGAGCTATGCAATCCACAGCCTATTATTATGAAAAAGTACATTCTGTATCGATCAGCTGGAACTTAACAGGCACCAAGAGAACAGGTACAGAAAGCATGATGTAAGGAATTTATCATATCTCAACCAGCTGCTTTGTTACAAGGTCCCTGGCAGATTTACCACTCTTATTTTTATTATATTCCCTAGGATCATTAAGAACATAGCCCATTCCACAAAGGTAGTTTTGAGGAATTAAAAAATAAAGAGAGGAACACAAGCTAGAAGACCAGATTCCAAATGCAGGCATGTTGCAAATTAACTGTAACTGGGGAAGTTCCTGCCACCCTCTGGGTCTTAGTTTTCATGTTGTGAGATGAAAAAAACACTGGACTAGATCAATGATTGTCAACCCTTTCTTTTTTTTCTTGCCAACAAACCTAGGGGAATATGATGCATTCCTTCAGGTACATTTTCTCAAGACAACAGTATTTTCTCAGTGGGTGTAGGGTCATATCACAATAAGAATGAATGTACAAAGTATGTGTGTGGTGTTTATTATTACAATTTTTTTTTTCTTGGCCACGCCACGTGGCTTGCAAGATCTTAGTTCCCCAACCAGGGATTGAACTCATGCCCTCGGCAGTGAAAGTGTGCAGTCCTAACCACTGGACTGCCAGGGAATCCCCTATTATTACAATTTTTAAATGGAGAAATAAGGGAGAATATAGCCAAGTATTTTCCAAAAGTTTCGATTTTATACCTTTGACCAAATAAGAACTTATTTAAAGCAGATGAGGGAAAAGTCTCTTTTAGAGAAGAATTCCAGATAATAAGTGAATAAGGAATAACAATTAGAATATCACCACTTTGTAACTCCTAATGAATTGAGGTGATGGGTACATAGGGGTTCATTATTCTAGGCTTACTTTTATAGCTATTAAACGTTAAAATGTTTTTTAAAAAGTCATTTGAGACTGTTAAATTGTCACACCATGCCAAGTAAGTAAACAGTAGAGGAAGGAATATACTTGTGGTCACAAGTCCCAAGTTGAATCCTGCTATACTCTTCTAAGTAGTTAATGTCTTTGGGAAAACAATTCAACTTTCTTTGCACCTTACCTGTAGAACAGGTATAATAATCCTGGGATTGCCAGGAAGATTAAATGAGCGACATGTAAAAACAGTGACTTTGTAGTAGATCCTTTAAAAAAAAGAAAGCAACTTCCTTCCTGATACATGTAAGTCGGCCACACAGTACCTTGAGCATCTTTGGCATGCTGAATGGATTCTACAGTTTGTTTCATCACTCCATCATCTGCAGCTACAACCAGTATGATAATGTCAGTGACCTGAGCACCTCTGGCTCTCATTGCTGAGAAAGCAGCATGTCCTGGAGTATCAAGAAAGGTTATCTTTTCCCCAGAAGGCAGAGAAACTGTGGAAACAGAAATCCAAGAACTCTGAGCACTCAAATATATACTTCCTTAATACAAAGGAATATACATGACCTTATCAACACAATCAATAATTCTTCAAAATAATTTTATTCTTTCCATTAATCTTAATCAGAACAATGCATTTGGATCATCACTCCACAATGAAAAGTGATAACATACCAGTGAGACCTTTAGGGTTTTCTTTTCATGTAATAATTTCAAACTAAAACTCAACCTATTTCTAGAATATAACTATTTTCATAAATGTACCAACTGGAATATATTCTGGAGAAAAAACCAGACTGACAGTTGTCTAGGCAGCCACTCCTGCATTAGCAAACACCAGCTGCACAACTGTCTTGAGCAACAGAGGCAATTTAGTACACAGTCAGAAGCTCAGGATTTGAGTTCAACAGCCTTGGGTTTAAATGCTGGCTTTGCCACTTTACTAGCTGTGTACTTTGAGCAAGTAACTCAACCTAAACAAGCCTCAGCCTCCTTATATGTATGTAGGAATATTAATACCTACCTCATGATGTTGCGAAGATAAAAAAACATAAAGCATATAAGGTGCTCAGAACAGTGCTGGGCACATGCTAGGTGTTCAGCAAATGACAGCTGTTACTCAATTATGAGTGGTAACATTATGACAACCTAGCATTGACAATTGACAATGACAATGAGCATAGGCTCATTAAATCAAACTAAGAATGAGCTAGAATACAAAAGGTATAACTTTCTTCTTACACACTGTACAAAATAACCTTTATTAACCACCAGCTCTACATTTCATCAAACCAATGGCTTTAGGCTTTAGCCTATCTTTTACTTTAAATTCATATATTTCATACGGTGACACTATTTTAAGAAAATAATATGTGGGGTTCCCAAGTACATTGTAAGGTGATCTGTGTTCATACCAAGAAAGGCACCAATGTGCTGAGTGATGCCTCCAGCTTCCATTGCTGCCACTTGAGTTTTTCGCAGTTTGTCAAGTAACGTCGTTTTTCCATGATCAACATGGCCCATTATAGTAACAACTGGGGACCTTGGTATTAATAAAGCTGGATCTGCCTGGGGCCTACAATTAACAGCAAAGGAGTTTCATTTCTTAAATATCAGAAACACTTTATAGCCAGTGAACTGATCTGCAGTTATCTCTGTGAACTACCATTAACAATAAAACCCAACATTTAGCTTTGATTAGACATAACTATTTTCCTCTTCTATACATACAATGACTTATGATAAAATAATAATGACTGCCCACCTACTGTAGGCATCTTCATAACAGTGAGCAAAACTGAAAAAAATTTTAAAATTCAGGATCAACATATACACTCAGCAAACTAAGAAAAATAACTCTTAGAGTTTTATAATAACCTGAATATACTTTTTGATACTTTAAGCACTTTGAAGAAAAGTTTAACCTATACTCACACATCATTTTAATTGCAAAAGGAATTTTAAGGCAAATGTTTCCATTAAAAAGTGTGAATAAAACAATGTGGTCTCCTTCCCCCAATTTATACAGTTAAGTTTTACCTTTTTACAGCATCTTTATTTTCTCTGACTTTGTCCTGTTTTAATTTGCTCCATTTTAACTTCATCCCTGACTTCTTTATCACTTCTTTGATCCAGACTTCATCTAAATGTGAGTGTGCTTCTAGTGAATCTATGTCAACAGCAGTGTTCAATAAAGATTCATATACACAATCTGGGTGAAACAAGATAAAACCTTTTAGGATCACGAATTAAATGTTCCAGAAAGTGACCTCTATTGATAAACATCTATATAAACAATACACTCAATGAGAGGAATAACTATATAAGCTATCCGTTTCTCTAATGTTAACGAATCACAAAAAAGTTGACAAGAAAATAATCTTTAAAATATGATACAGGGAGTTCCCTGGCGGCCCAGTGGTTAATACTTTGCCTACCAATGCAGGGAGTGCGGGTTCGATTCCTGGTCGGGGAGTTAAAATCCCACATGCCTCGAGGCCAAAAAACCAAAACATAAAACAGAAGCAATATTGTAACAAATCCAATAAAGACTTTAAAAATGGTCCACATCAAAAAAAAAGGAAAAAAAATGATACATTTATATTAATTGATATTTCTGCATATTCATAAATATTTGAATATTTACCATGTACCTTATGAACTACCTGAGCAATTAATAAAACATTAAATTGCATGTCGATTCTCATTATTCAAGGTAATTATGTTCTATAAACTCACTGGGAACAGTGAATTAGCAAATACTGAATCATTGCTCTGAAGGGAAATACAGGGTTACGTTCCTTCAGTCTCCGGTCACAACATTTTCATCAGCTATATCTTGTTTTATGTGTTTTTGTTTAAAGACATCTTATTCAATATATGTTGTTGATTCATTAACGTTATACTCACAGTCAACAGCACTATACTATAACTAATGCCTCAATAAAGCTTATCTAACACATGTATTTTCTCTGTAAGGCACATTACAGCCTTCTTGTAGTTAGTAACACTAAACAGCACTTCAGCACCATGCTGAGGGGCCATTTTAAACAGCGAAATCACCAAAAAAAAGCACAAAAATGAGAAAAACATGGCACTAAATAAACCACAAAAATGACACTTGTTTACAGTATGAGAGGAGAGAAGGCAGAGTGTGGCCTTGTTTGAACCTCAGCTAGTAATGCGTGATCAGGTCAGGCAACTCAAATTTTTCACTGCTCTGTGCATGTCCAGGAATGACTACAAAAGCATTTCAAGTATCAATTTTGGGCTACAAATACATTTTAGGGAATTCGCCAATTCAGAATCCCCAAATAATAAGGATTGACTATATTTACATATGTATATACATAAATATATGCACACACACACATACAGTATCACAGAATACATGTACACACTATTTATGTATCTATTTAGGATGTCCAAAAAGTAGCAAAACATAGGAAAAATAATTACTTGTTGTTTTCATTTTATTTAATGTGCTTTAATTCCAGTCATATTTTCCTGTGGGTAATAAATAAAGTATCAGTGGTGATAATGAAATAACTAGTTTTATGCTTCCAGAATTTCAGTCACCCTATAAATATATATTTTGAGAGACAGATATAAAAGAAAGGCATCTTCAAACACGCAGAATATTACACTAAAAGAACTTCCTATTCAGTAGTGTGCTGGTAAATGTTTACTCTGAGGCTCCTAAAAAAAAGTCCTGATTTATAGCACTTCCCAATTTCCATGGTACAAATACCCGCCACCAGGGGTGCCCAACCCCCTGTTAGGAACCAGGGCGCACAGCAGGAAGTGAGCGGCTGGGGAGTGAGCAAAGCTTCATTTATACTTACAGCCGCTCCCCATGCTCGCATTACCACCTGAGCTGCGCCTCCTGTCAGACGAGCGGTGGCATTAGATTCTCATAGGAGCACGAACCCTATTGTACACTGCACATGCAAGGGATCTAGGCTGCAGGCTCCTTATGAGAATCTGATGCCTGATGGTCTGAGGTGGAGCTGAGGCAGTGATGCTAGCGCTGGGGAGCAGCTGCAAATACAGATTATCATTAGCAGAGAGGTTTGACTACACAGAGACCATAATAAACCAACTGCTTGCAGACTCAATTCAAAACCCTATCAGTGAGTGGCAAGTGAAAACAAGCTCAGGACTCCCACTGATTCTGCATTATGGTGAGTTGTATAATTATTTCATTATATATTACAGTGTAATAATAATAGAAACAAAGCGCACAATAAATGCGCTTGAATCATCCTGAAACCATCATCCCCCCAACCTCACCCCCCGTCAGTGGAAAAATTGTCTTCCACAAAACCAGTCCCTGGTGCCAAAAAGGTTGGGGGCTGCTGTCCCCCACCACGTCTGACTTCAAGCCACCAATATGAAGTCACTGAACACAGAGATGAAAAGAGATGTGAAGCAGCACACTATTAAATAGTATTTCCACCATATCGGTACAATAAACGTAAATAACCTCAAGATCATAGATTAATAGTAAAATGCAGTAAAATAATTAAGAAGTGAAAATATTAATGAGTATTTATTTACCTCCATTTATGACTTACTTTTTTAAATGGTTGTGTTTACACCAGCTCACATAATTCCTTATAATTTAGCAATAGGCTCACAAACTGGTACAAGCCAGCCTCAGCACCTCACTGATCCTACTCCATAATAATGCCAAGAAATGCTTTCTTGTGTATTTCCCTACCACATTTTTCCCCAAGAAAACACATTTTAAATTAGGAGTATGGCACTATTGATACTATGTATAAAATAGACAACTAATGAGAACATACTCTATAGCACAGGGAAATCTACTTAAGGCACTGTGGTGACCTAAATGGGAAGGAAATCCAAATAAGAGGGGATAAATGTATATGTATAGCTGATTCATTTTGCTGTACAGTAGAAACTAACACAGCACTATAAAGCAACTATGCTTCAATAAAAATTAACTTAAAATAAAAATAAAACATAAATAAACTAGGAGTATGGGATTAACATATACACACTACTATATATAAAATAGATAATCAACAAGGACCTAATGTATAGCACAGGAAACTACTCAATATTCTGTAATAACCTATATGGGAAAAGAATGTGGAAAAGAATGGATATATGTATATGTATAACTGAATCACTACGCTGTACATCTGAAACTAACACAGCATTGTAGATCAATTATACTCTAATATAAAATAAAAATTAAATTAAAAAAAGAATGCTACAACATAAATTTCCTATATGGATATGCTCTCAGAAAACAATAAAACTCTAAACGTAAAAATTATAATGAGTACAATTCTGTTTCTAATAATGCTAAAAATCCTTAATAATCCAGTAACTATAGTTTTCCAATATGTTATCCTAAACTTCTGAGAGGTAGCTTATACATAGGGATAATCTTTTTCCCTCTACATTAAATGCATATAGTATCAACATATTATTTTATCTTTATCCAAGACTTAAATATTTACATGTAGAAAAGTACCCAAAGCATTTTAACCAGGAATACTACATCAATTTTCTTTTTTGGCTGCACTGCACAGCTTGCAGGATCTTAGTTCCCCCACCAGGGATTGAACCCACACCCCTGGCAGTGAAAGCACAGAGTCCTGACCACTGGACCGCCAGGGAATTCCCACATCAAGTTATTTTAACTGAGCCGGGGCAGGGGGGTTAGGGTGTATGTACATTGCTAATATAGCAGTTAAAAATATTCACCATATGAAAACTATCTTAAATTCAAAAGAGGTATGATTATAATATTAAATAAGTTTCAAATAGATAACTTTTATTTAAATCATAGCAAATCAGTTTTGGATTTAGAGCACTGATCCACAGGATTAAACCTGTATTTTAATTATTCTATTTATTTGGTGATACAAAGGAATTATGGTTATGCGTGTGTATGTTAATGTTTAAAAAAAAAAGAATTATCGCTTAGCAATATGTAAGTACTCATGGACTAAATGATATATTAATAATTGTTATCACTGGCTCATGCAAACATTATGCTTATCATTCCATTCCTTCTGCTTTCATATATATATGAAAAATGCCAATAATAAAAAGTTCTAAAAATCAAGTCTGTTATCAATATCATTTATAAAATCATATCAATACAGTTTTCCTTGGAAAAATTCCGAATGACATGGCCATGTCCATTTGTTCTCTTAAAGTTTTATAGTTATAAAATGATTACATAATCCAACGCAAAGTTTAAAAAAAAACACAAGATAGAGTGCTAATTTTCTATTCTTTGTGAGGATGTACTGTCACAAATAGTGGTAACACTTTCAGGCAGGATACACATTAAAACTCTAGCTCTGCTGTGATTTACAAAATAACAATTCCTGAGAGAAAATTTGGTCTGTGAATAAGAGCATCTGCTCTGGAGCCATACTACCTGGGTTCAAAATCCTGGCTCCACCACATAGTAGCTGTGAAATCCTGGGCAATTATTTATCCTCTCTATGCCTTGGTTTCTCAATCTATAAATGGGGATAATAATCATACCTGCTTCTAGAGAATTGTGAGAATTATATGAGTTAATACATATAAAGTACTGGTATATAGTAACAGCTCAATAAATATGTTATTAGTAGTAATTTTTTGCCAAGTCTGCTTGTTACTTTATTTTGCTACAATAATAAGCTATTTCTTGTTTACTAAATTTTAATGTCAGTTTATAATGAAAACGAAATGAAAATTTTGTTCCAACAATCCTAAATTGGTAATAAATACAGTAGTCCCTCAGTATCTGCAGGGGCATGGTTCCAGGACATCCCCTGAATACCAAAATACATGGACTTTATATATAAGTCCCTTAGATAAAATGGCACAGTATTTGCATATAACCTACACACATCCACCCATATATTTTAAATCATCTTTAGACTACTTACAATAACTAATGTAATGTTATAGAAACAGTCGCTGATGCATGACAAATTCAAGTTTTGCTTTCTGGAACTTTCTGGATTTTTTTTTCCTTTTTTAAAATATTTCTGATTCACGGTTGGCAGAATCCACGGATGCAGAACCCTTGGATACAGTGGGCCAATTACAATTTTTATTACATTTCTAATAAAAATGGTATTATGAAAAGCTGTAGTTATGGACTTCCCTGGTGATGCAGTGGATAAGAATCCGCCTGCCAATGCAGGGGACACGGGTTCGATCCCTGGTCCGGGAAGATCCCACATGCCGCAGAGCAACTAAGCCCAGGCGCCACAACTACTTAGCCTGTGCTCTAGAGCCCGCAAGCCACAACTTCTGAGCCCGCGTGCCACAACTACTGAAGCCCGTGTGCCTAGCACCCGTGCTCCGCAACAAGAGAAGCCACCGCAATGAGAAGCCCGCGCACCGCAACGAAGAGCAGCCCCCGCTCGCTGCAACTAGAGAAAGCCCACGAGCAGCAACAAACACCCGACGCAGCCAAAAATAAATAAATAAATTTATTAAGGAAAAAAAAAATGTAGTTATTACTACAAATATTTTTCTGCTGGCACTACACTACAGAAATTGTCAAAATGAGTGCAATTAGAGAATTATAGAGAAACAAAAGGAAAGTAAATGAGTATAAATACGGTCCCTCAGTCCAAAAGCATTCTTTGGACTTATTCTAATAGTCCACGAGATTTCTGAGCAAGAAAGTTTAGTTCAAATTAAAAAAAATCTTTTCCACTTTTATTAAAAGCAAAATCTTAGAGAACTAGATTTGGCAAAGAGCCAAGAAACTAATCAGGATTTGTCATCTAAAGTGAAAAATACTGGAATTGCTTAACATCTTTTTAAACCACTAGTCTAATTTTCATCCTTGAATGCCTTAATCTCACTGCAAATAAAATACCAGGTATTCCACGTTTCCATATTTTTCCTTATAAAATTATCTGGCTCACCTATGTCTTTTTCCATTGCTCTGGCCAGCTCCTCAACAGTCATTCCAATCCATACCTCCACCTCCTTTTTAGATTTTGTTGAAGATAACTGAGGTTTCTGCGATTTTTTTTCCTATTAAATATTCAGAACACATAAAGAAGAAGGAAGAAAATCTCTGAGGTTTATTCTGGAATATCTACCACAGTCAGGGCTCCTATTTCTACCAACACTCCCATAAATTGTTAAACTTTAGACTAAAATTTAAAATCCTGATTCCTTAATTCACTGTTATACACTGATATAAATAAGCAAATTAATCAACATTACTAAACAGCTAACTAGAACCTCCCTTCCTCACAAAGATTTATTGCCTGGAATGTAGCATTAAGGCATAAAGATTTCAAAAATACTCAAAATGGATTTCTACTCATGGCTCTAGGCACTTTTATCTCAGACCAAATAATACAGAAACTCAGAGAAATCTAGAACTACCTTCTTTGTCACCAGAAGCCTATGTTGAGATAAAGCGGTCCTGATGAGCGCATGTGTCTGCCAGGGCTGGGGGTACAGCTGAGCTGTCCACACCAGGTAAGCAGATGAAAACACGTGCCTCCACTGTGCCAACATTCTTCTTTGATACAGGCTGTGCAGCTGCCTACAAATAGTGTGAAATCGTAGCAAGTTCTCCAACTTAAGTATCTTCTGGTTCATGTTTCTCCTAGGAAAAAAGTTTTCAAATACTATTTTGGTTAATATTGAAATCAAGTTAGTAAATATTAATTGGATATCTACTACACACAAAACACTGTGCTAGAGTTACAACAATGAGTAAAACTGGGTTCTCGCCCTGAAAGAGCTCACAGTCCAGAGAGATGGAATTCCGTACTAAGTACTCTCTAGATATTAACTAGAACTATTGTTAATGTTCCTACCATAATAACACTGAAATACAATAACAAACTTATAAGGGTTCTTTTTTCACTCCTGAAACATCAATTAACCAAATCACAACTACAGTCATTTTTTTTTTAAATGCAAATTTGCACTGATCAACTCTCTGCCAAACATTCTTTGGGAGGATGGGGGGAGATTATCCCTAGTTTAATGTACAACTTCAAAACATGCTATATAAGGACTCATTATCTGCCTTCTGTTAATCTCTCACTCCATCTCTTACGCTCTTATAGTTCCCTCACTCCTATCTCCCAAATTTTTGTTATTCTGTCTCACCTGTAATCTCCAACGGCTGTCTTCTAATCTTTGAAACTTTGCATATGCTCCCTCTTCTTGGAACTGTCTTTCAACCCTAACATTTTCCCCTCTTCCCAACCCCCCCAAAAAAAAGATGCTTTAGAGTGGGAAGAAGGCACCCAATAAATATCTAATGAATAATGCCAATAAATACCTATTGAATAATGCCTTTTGAATATTACTCTTGGGACAAAAGAAGAGTTTACTGAGAGAAAACCACAACAGACCTCAACAGTGTAGCTCAGAACTCAGTAGTATAGTCTTTTCCTCCTTGAGTCTTCTATTTCTTCTGATCACAACACTGCATTTCTACAGCTTTGCTTTTCAGTGTTTAAGGGAAGGAGTAACTAAAATAACATAAGTACTAGTTTTCTCCTCAGCAGACATTTCAAGAGCACCATCTTCCAGGCACTGCATCTGAGGTTGTTGATTCAAAATTTAATAAGCAAGAGTCCCTTCCTTTGGGGTCCACTGTCTTTAAAATGTTCCAATATAATGATTCTTAAACACCTCAAGAATGGCACATTTAAAGAATCTTATTTAGGTACATTTCCCTGAACTAAGAAGTAAAGGGTGCTCAGGAAGCACAGAATTCCTTAGGGAAAAAAAAAATTTTTTTAATGACTCTAAAACCAGATTTAACAAGGACACAGATTAACATAATGGGAGGAAAAGTCCTACACGGAGATTAACCAAAGCACAACTATTTCACTGACGCAGGGATTCGAAAAACACATTGGCGGTCAATAAACCAAATACCAAAACTGAAAGGAACCTTACTTGCTACTTATTCCAAGCCCCTCATTTTAAAGAAAAGGAAAATGGAGTCAAGAGAGGTCAAAAAGCCTTCTCCAATGTCATACCGCTAGTTAATGACAGTCAGGACTAGAACCCAGGCTTTCTGACTCCCAATTCGGTGTTCTTTCGCCGCTAGTATATTCTTATCATGGAACCTGAAAAAGGATGTTGGAAAGAATGTAGTTGCGCTGGTGAAAACGTCTGAATGAAACAGCTAGAAGCCTTGGGAGTTATCTGAAAGGTAAAAAGAAGTCACGGTAGAATGTCGGATCTAGGGTGGCTTCGCCTGGAACCCGAGACCAAAAAGCCTTGGGCACAGGGGAGGTCGGGGCGTGGAGGACACCTGCCGCGGCACGCGGGGAGAGCAAGCAGCCGGCCGCTTCTGGTTGGATAGCGCTTTCGTTATGCCGAAAGTAACAATCACGCATGGATTAAGTGCATAATGGAAAGCCTCCCGAATGCGCAATGCTTGTCATCTGTGCCGCTAACACTTTAGGCCAAACAATAGGGACCACACGGCTAAGAGACCCCACTCACTTAGCTCCTACGTAGGGTCCAGGGCGCCGGAATTCTGACGCAGGTCAAAGATCACCTTCCGGACCCGGGAGGACTGTCAGTAGGCTAGTCCGTCTCAAAAATGGTCCCCCGCGGGCTTCCGGTACCGCCGGAAGCGGTTCTACCCGGAACTCAGAAGTCCGATTTCGGAACAGCCCTGTTGCCGCTGGTACAGTCGCCGGGTGTACCCGGGTGGCGTGTCAGCAGCGAGTTTCTGCAGAGCCCTTCGCTTTCTAGGAAGTAAATTACTGCTACTCTGGGGCTGTGAGCGGCCTCGATGTGCACAACTCAAAGGAAAGTTAAACGGGGAAATGTGGGAGAAATGATAAGTCCTTAAAAGACATACTAACAAAAAGGGAAAAATGCAAGGGAACGTGGCGATAGACCCAGTTAGTACTGGGCGAGGAGCGCTTTCTTTTTCAAAAGTCACCTCGTGTGGGTGGCATTTAAAGTAATAAAGATAGAGTGGGTTCCAATCCCAGCTCATCCCCACTTGTGTAGACTTGGGGACGTTATGTAAACTCTGTGCCTCCCCCCGCCCCCCATAGTCTGGCCGCCTAACTCATGGCCCTCCCCTTTTTTATGTTTGTCTCCCCAGTGCCACCGCAAAGATGTGTAATCAGTGTTGTTGAATGACTAAATGGAAACCTCTGTCCTGAAAATCTTTTTAATGAACCTAAACACTCACACCCTTGAAAACTATTGAAGTGCATTTCAATTGCTATCATTTTACTTACCTTTCACACTCACTGAAATGCCAATTTCTGCAAGAAAGTATTCTTTGCTCTCTCTGCCTTGCCAAGTAGTTGAGAAGCAGAAATTGATTGAATTGAACATCAAAGTAAGTCATACCTTTTTTCCCCAATATTAAAGTGAAAATAACCAATATGTTTCTAATCATTAAGAAAATACATACTAATGTGGAAAATTAAAGCAATACACTAAAATATAGAAAGTGGAGGGAGGGAGGGAGGGAGGGAGGGAAGGCCAAAGCTGGAAACATTTGAGCAACAAAATAACACAGTATTAGATTATAACAAATAAATGGGGGAGAAGGGACAAATCCTCCTTACAGAAAAATTCCACATAATATATGTGTATAACTTCTACTAGGAGGTAAAGCTTAACCACCACCACCACCCCACCCGCCTTGAGTGTGGACTGGACTTAGTGACTTGCTTCCAAAGAATAGAATATGGAAAGGGAAAAATAGTACCTTCATAATGGAGAAAATCGGCAGACGCCACCTTAACCAACTGATCACGGTAAACATCACCAGCAATGTCATGTTGCTATCATGTACCCCGAGAAATGATGTGATGAGGACATTTCATCTCTAATTTGTCCCCAAAACCCACAACCCTACTCTAATCATGGGGAAAACATCAGACAAACCCAAATTAAAGAGCATTCTACAAAATATCTGAGCAGAACTCTTCAAAGCTGTCAAGGTCATGAAAAGCAAGAAAAGACCTGGGTGAAAACACAGTATCAAGCGTTACTCATACATTTAAAATGATGCTCCATGTAAGTGACCTTAAAATGCCCCATATGTCTTCATTTAACAGACATCTATTCACTCTTCCACGTCCTTTGACCACATGCTGCCAATATATGGGGTTCCTTTCCTAAATGGTTTCCACTTATCCAGATCATTAGCAACTTGCCGTGCAATGAAACCATACAATGTTTGCTTTTAAAAATTCTTTTCTCTCCCCACCTCCCTCACATACACACACACACACACACACACACACACACACATAGGGGTAACTATTTTCCTAGACTAAGTTGTTTATTCACCTCCTTTCTGTCCCTTTTTGCTTCTCCCCTTCCACCCTGATATACCATCATAAAAAAAGACAAGAAACAAGAAGCTATCACAGATCAGACAGAAAGAAATGTGATGACTGAATGCAGTGTGGGATCCTGTATAGAATCCGGGAACAGAAAAGCACACTAGTGGAAAAACTGGTGAAATCTGAATAAAATCTGTAGTTTAGTTACTTGTAATACCCCAGTGTTAATTTTTTAATTTTCACAAACATATCATAGTTAACATAACATGTTAACATTAGAGGAAACTGAGTGAAGGACATTCAGGAACTCTCCACTATCTTTGCAAATTAAAATTTATTTTTTTACTAAAGAAAGTGAGTCAAATCCTATATCCCACCTCTCTGGAAGTAACCACTTTGTGCGTTTGTGTGTGTACACATCATTCCACTTATCTCTGTATAAATACATGTATACATACACTTTTATGTAAATGAGATTCATGTTATAAATGCTGCTTCTTATCTCTGCAACAATATATACCGGAAATCTTCCACACTGATGAACATATATCCATATCATTCTTTTAAATGATTTTGAAAGATTCCATTGTTTATAAGTGCCATACCCACATAGATGGACATATATGCTGTGTCCAGTATCTAACATAATATTGCAGTGAATATTCTTGGGCATACACTTTTGCATGCCAGTCCAGTTCTTTCTCTAGAATAAATTTCTGAAAGTGGAAGCCCTATTTCCTTTCAGTGAAGAATGGTATTTATAATCTAGGCTCAGGGTGTCAGGTATGTTCATTGTTACTGGGGTTTTGATGCTCTCAAGCCCTCCCATTGGTCAAAGCTGGGGAATATTATACACATGTGTGCACACATTTCCATCTACATACATTGAAAACCATGCGTTCCTACTGATATCGTGAAGTCCAATCTAACACCATAGGGTTCAAACTAGGCTTTTCCCTTTATATGTATGTAACTTCCTTTTCTAGCCGTGGGAAACCTGACTCGCATCAGCCTTAATATATTTACTTATTTAAGCAATTCCCCTGTGTGAAACCAATCTCCAATCTGGCCACCACCCCATCTCCTGCACTCATGCCCTCCTTACCTCTCTCCAGCTTGGACTCCCAAGGCCAGTTCACCCCTTGAAGTGGACATCTTCACCCTGATTGGATGTAAAATGTTAACATTAGGGGAACCTGGATAAAGGGCATTTGGGAACTCTCTCCAGTATCTTTGCAACTATTCTGTAATCTAAATTTACAGCAATACAGGGCCACTGGAGCCCCCCACTCCTGCCCTACATCTGTGGATGGCCTGCCTTGCCCTTGCCCCTGATGGCTTTAGGACTGAAAACTTGTGGAAGGGGAGGGATGAAGAAGGGCTCCTATTCCCACTTCACCTTATGTCCTTTGTTGGTCTTCTAATCTGATCATATTAATTATGGAACATAATAAGTTCAGAGACAGGTAGAGCCAACTTGACCACAAATAATGTTTCATATTGCCATCTGCTTGGTAAGAGCTATGTCTCAGAAGTATTAAATGATAGGTCTAAAACACAAACTCAATGAGAAAACTTGAAACCAAAGCACAGTGGGAAAAAAAGGAAGGGAAGAAAGAAAGAAAAGAAAAGAAAGAGAAAGAAGGGAGGGAGGGAGGGAGGGAAGGAGGGAAGGAAGGAAGAGAAAAAGGAGCTGTATTGCGGCTATCCCTTTCCTATCTAGAAAATGGTTTGAACTCTTGTTAGTTCTGACTTTCAACTTGTTCCCTCTCCCAACCTTTTTCTTGCCTTTCAAGATCTTGGCAGAAAGCTCCTTTTTAAGGGGCTAGGTCACTTCAATATCCAGACTAATTATAGTTCTTGGTGATAATTAGGGGTAAACTGCCTTCTTGCAAGAGGGATAGGGTATGAGTTGCAGCCCAGCACACACTGGCCTGACAGTACTAGAAGGAACTACAGTCATGTCTCTGGGCTTATTCTAGGAGGAGGAAATCACAAGGAACAACACAAGAATTAGGTATCTTCCAAAGAGAAGCTGATCAGGGCTGCAGTAAAGCAGAACAAAATTACAAGGTTTAAATCTGTTTTGTTTTCTGTCTCAACTGTCATTTCTTGGCTTCACAAAATAAAGCAAAACACCCTGCAATATAAATTGCTAGAGGAATGGTACCAGGAATTTTAAAACTAGAAGAGACTTGAGAACCTGAATCATGGCAATCTAAAATTATCAGTAATAGTTACGATCATAACTATTATTTTCACTGCCATTTATGTACCAGTCACATAAATATTTTGTTATATTTAATATGTTATACAGCAGTTCTTGGCACATTAACGGGTCTGAGGCCAACTGACAATTCAGTTTTCCTTGACTCTGATTTGACAACTTTCCCTAGTGAAAAATTGGTAATCTAGCAGTCAAATTTTCGTAAGGTCAATTTATTTTAAATGTGTGGCTTCGTGGAAGATCACTACACCTTAATAATAGTAATAATAATAGCTATCATTCATTTGACATACTCAGGATGAAGCATTGTTCTTAATGCTTTATCATTATCATCTGATTCAAGCCTGCAAGATTCAATGTCTTACTTTTGAACATCAATTTTAACAAACCAGAGGGATTGCACTATCACTGGAGAAGTTAAGCAACTTGTCCCGGTCACACCCTTAGTGATCGGTGAGATGGACCTAAATTCAAGTCTGTTTGATTCCAAGACTGTTTCTCAACTGCTGCCATAACTGAAGAAGTTGAATTAAAGATCTTTAGGGTCCCACCCATCTTTGAGATTTTACCTTTTGAACATATGAAAATAAGCATTTTTTAACTTAAATTTGATATCAATCTTTACTACATGATATATGGTAAATATTTGTGTTCCTATTAGTATTGAAGCTTCTAATAAAGCAACAATTTTCTTTATGGAAAACAATAAGAGTAACAATTCTGTATATTTCTAGTGGAAAACATGGCATTCATCTCCAGTAACCTCTATATCAATACTGATTAAAGATCTGTGCATTGGATTTTCATCAGCAATGAAATAGTTATCTCTTTACCACTGGCATTCAAATTACACAAAGCATTTCTTGGGTTTCCTCTTGAGTCTCATCAAATTATGCTTCACTGATTTCTTCATACATGATTACATCTCTTACAAAAATTTTTTTACTATAAAGTCTTTTGTTTCAGTTTTTCCCAGCTTTATTGAGGTGTAATTGACAAAATCGTAAGATATTTAAAAGTGTACAATGTGATACAGTGTACAATTTGATATATAAACACATTGTGAAACAACTTCCCCCTGAGTTAATTAACCCATCCATCACCTCACATATTTACCTTTTTGCTGTTGTCATGGTTGAAAATGTTATGTTCTATACTCTTAGCAAATTTCAATCATACAATATAGCATTATCATCTGTAGTCACCATGTTATACTTTAGATCCTCGGACCTTATTCATCTTATAACTGAAAGTTTGTACCCTTTTACTAACCTATGTTCCTTATTTCTACATTCTTGTCCCATCTCTTCCACTAACTAGTATTACCACTTTGAATAAGACAGCAACCTTTCTGGTGTTCAATATCTTCATTACAAAATTAAAAAGGTTACATTCTTGCAGTATTATTTCTGGAAAGTTTAAAAATATAACTTTTAAATAAATATAAAATGCGTATGTGCCTAAAGATGTATTTAACTCATTAATGGGGGATCCAGAAAGATGGTAAGCCTTGGTCAAAGAGGACTGGGGAGTGCCACATATTTACAGCTGCTGAAAGAATGAATACTTGAATAAGACTGCTCATATAGGTACAAAAGTGGTTAATATCCTGCAGCACAATAAACGGTTACCTGTTCTATGGGACAAAAATCATCTGTACCTCTACTGGACAAAATTCAGTTATATTACTGTCAGTTTTCTGCATGTTAAGATTTACCCTTACAGAGTTGTACAGTCCTCTGTACTAAAACATGATAAATATCAAGTCGAACAAAAGCGCACATTCCTGGAGAATCAGACAATCCCAGGAGTGCCTGCTAGACAAAACGCAGCAGGACACTGAAAGAACAAATAGTCATCCCTTCGCCTATTTCCAAGTTTCAGATCATTTTTCTTAATAGAACTAAGAATCCTCTGAGTTTTAAAATTCTCTCTTAGGAACCAGCGCCAAAAATGTAACATCACTGAGAATTACAACACTGAGAATTACAACTAGCACATCCCGGTAAGCACACACTGATTACATTTATTCTACTTAGGATTGTCATTTTAAACCACCAGACTAATTGAAAGGCTGACTGTAATTTGCTGATATTTATGGCTTCCAGGACAGCTTTACAAAGGATGTGTCTCATCTTATGCTGAAATTAAGTAGTTTGTTCAATAATTAATAAATATATATTAAGAACGCATCATGTACCAATCACAGTTTTAGGATACAACAGAGAAATAAAATAGATGAAGACTCCTGTCTTCAAGAAGATTATATTCTTGTAGTGAGAAATTCCATATGAATTAAACATTTAAAGGTTGAGTAAAAATTAGGAGACAACATAAATGATATCATTTGTAAACCTGGGTGGGAAAGACTTTTCTAGTCATAATTCTAAAATCAGAAACTAGGGAATTCCCTGGTGGTCCAGTGGTTGGGACTCTGCTCTTCCATTGCAGGGGGCCCATGGTCTGGGAACTAAGATCCCACAAGCTAGGCAGCAGCGCGTCCCCCCCCACAAAATTCAGAAACTATAGGGGAAAGAACCATTAGTTACACGAGTGATACCCAAACGTGAGCAGGTATCAAGTCACCCGGAGGGCTGAATAAAGCACGGATTGCTGGCCCACCCTCCCAGAGTATCTGATTCTGTAAGCGCGAGGTGGGCTAGGAGAATTTATTTCTAACAAATTCTCAGGTGATGACAGTAACGCTGGTCTGAGGACTACATTTTGAGAACCTGGATTAGAATACATAAATGTTTTAAATGTCTGTACTGTCAAGACATTATAAATAAATAAATAAATAAATAGCTATAACTGGGAAAACTAGCAATCAATGATCAATTAATGGTGTAAACTGGGAGCATTTCTTCTCTACTCTTGAAGTTCTACTCTTCTCTACTCTTGAACTCTTGAAGTTCTTTTCTGTGAAAGGAGCTCATTTCATGCGATTTTGGGCCTTTTTCTGCCTCTTTACTCATTCTGATTTCGAGGATATGGGTCCAATTTACTAAATTTAAGACTAATTGAACATACATTCAACTCAACTTCCTTTCCCTCGGGGGAACCAGTCTGCCACTGGCAAAGACAGCAGACAAAAATCACTGTGCTCTCCAGCAATTCTTCTTACATTCTAGTGGAGAAGTTTATATTTTATCTTTATGGTACTAAGTTGATATTTAACAAGTACAGACATACCATCCTACATCAGTAAACATAAAAGTGATATTGATATTTTTCCTAAATCTTAAAAACACAGTGCAAACGCGTGTTTGCTTATTTAATAATTTTGACTCTGGTAATCAAATAATTGCTAATAAAGATGTGGAGAATGGAATGTTCTTGTACTGCAAATTTATAAAACCATTCTGGAAGACAATCGACAATAGTTATCAATTTAAGTGTATAAACTGTAACTTTGCAGATTCTAAGATTTATTCTAAGGAATAAATGAAATAATTATGCAAAGATATATAGATATAGAACTATAGATACTTACCGTAGCCTTCTTTATAATACTATGAAAAATTTGGAAATTATTAACATATAAGTCATTGGACATTGGACATTCCCAAATTTGGAGCTGGGTGAATAAATGAAAACTATACAGCCATTACAAGTGATAATGTAGTTCTCTGTTGGCATGGAAAGATGTCTACTGGGTGAAAAAAGGAAAGATCATAAAATATCCTATGTTATATAATCAGATAAAACTAGAAATAAACAGCATATATAGAGTATACATACACATCATACATGTGGTGTGCATATATATGTATATATACCTGTGACATAAATGCTTGTGCATCTTGTTGTGTGGTCTGATTTTTTTTCAATAAACATGTATCTTTTTATCTTCTGTGTTTCTTTTTAAAGTATGATTTTAAAACATTTATTTAAAGAAATAAACATACAACTTGTTAAAAAAAACATTAAACAGTATTTTAACACTCAGAAAAAGAAAGCTACTTTATGTTTTGGAGAAATGCTGAATATGAGTTTGTTTCTGATCGACCTGGCTCTTTTTGTCCTTACATTATACCCCATACTTTTCAAAAATATATTTATTAATATTTACTGAAATCAGCACTTATCATAAATAGGTAAATCAAATCAGCAAGGGTAGAGGAATAATATGTGATCAGGAGTAATCTGGTCTCAAACTTAGATTTTATTAAAATTTATGCAAATATATTCAATTTACAAGTTAATTTAACGCATTAAAATCACAGGAAATTTCTCTTTTTAGCCAGTAAGACTAGGACAGAAATTCCAAAGTAGTTCCCATAAACCTAATCCAATCAAACTAATTATTCTGAAATGCTAGACCTAAAGAAAATATTCCCCAGTCCACATGCAAAGTAAGAAAAAATAATCTACCCCATAGTACTTTCGTATAGAAGTCAGTTTTCTTGGGTTGCTGTGAGAACCACCTACAGACCATGTAATAACAAGGAGTATAAAGTCTCTGTTCATTCATTTAGTGGTTCACTAGGTCCAGAAAGGTAAGACTGCTTTGAAGAGCAGCTCAGAGCATGTCTTGCTGGCCTGGCCTCCTTCTGCAGGGGTTCCTGAATCACAGCAATTGCTGTTCCACCTGGTTCAGGGTTAGGAGGTCGGAGCTACTCACCAGGTATTTACAGTACAACCTGGGGCTCACAGCAGTGTCTGGAAATACTTCCTTGTCCAAAGTAAAGCTTCCTTATGACTATTTAATTTTAAATGAGTGTTTAAAGTGAACAAAAGAAAGAAACCTGCTACTTCTCTGCTTACTGCATGTGCTTTTTTCACACTGCACACTGCATGTGCTTTTTTCATTTTGTATGAAACCAGTATTTTCCCAGACGAGAAAAGTGAACATCTTTACCCATTTCATATTTTAATTTGGAGGTAATTAAATTACATCTGCCCACTTATTAAATTTTTTATACCTCAACTTTCTCCTCTTTTGAAGTCGTTTGAAAATACCCTCACGTGATCTTAATTGTGGAGACAGTTTACATTTCCCTTTGTTTGTTTAATAACATTTTTTGACCTTTTTCAGATTTAGTTTACATTTCTTTATTTTTAACTTATTGATCCCCCCCTCCCTGTTATTAGCTGGAGATAACCGCCTCAAGAAGTGTATTTTTTAGCAGGTAAGCATTTTAGTTCTGATGAAACAAAAATTCACATTTTAAGGCAAGACAAAAAAAATTTAAACATAAAACTTTTAATCTACTCTCTGGCCTCCTACCTTCCTTCTAGTGTGCATTGTGCAGCTGCATTATGTGTTAACCAGAACTCCCCAGTGGCAGAAATACCTGCTCAACCATGAAGATCAATTTTCCTTATTTTGGGGCCAGCCATGTAACTCCTCAGAAGATAATATTCCTTCCTCAATCCTGTAAGGGGTCACAATGACCCACCACTCACCTGGTATGTGCAGACATCTTTGGTGAACAATGCCAATATACTATTTCCCTTAAAGATAGTTACTGGTGCAGAAGAGACACTTAAAGGACGTTCTTAGCTTAAATACTTACTTGTGACCTTATTAATGTAACTAGCTATATTACTTGTATTCTGCCTGTTTAACAAGATTATTGTTTCTTGCATTACCAAATGTGTGATGAGCCTCAGATAAAACTAATGATGATTAGGCTAACTGAAATGATTGATCAAACACATAGTTCCACAAGATCAGTGATTGTAATAGTGTAACTCTAGATGTGAGAAGAAGCAACAAGAGGGAACCACTTCCTGGACCATAACAGACCAGTAAGACAGGCAGTCCAGAGGCTTTTGGTTACTGTTAACAGGGTCTAGTCCAATTATAGTAGCACGTTGAGTGGCCTATCAATGAAATCCTCACCTGGCCTGGGAATCGCCATTAGGCAAACTGGTCATGAAATGCCTTCCAAACATTGCTCAAAATTAAGACCAAAAGGGAGGGGACTGTCAAATAAAGAGTATTGCCCACCGTCCAGTTCTACCAGAATCAAGTCATTAGCTACTGCAGTCGCTGACCTACAGTTGAAAGGAATTCAGGGTGGAGATCAGGATGAGACACTTTGTATACTGGAAAACTGACAGAACTGGCCCTCAGACAGATCTTTTCAGGAGAAAATTTTATGAACCTAGTTTCCTGCATCTTCCCATACTTAGAAAAGCACTAAAACCATTAACTAAGATATCTCTTCCTCTCGAATAGCAGTAACCTTCTACTAAGATGAGTGCTTGATGGCATGTACCACTTTGCCAAAATCATACATACAGGCCTCACCCTTTACCTCTTTGGAACAGTCCCCAGAGCTTTCTGAAAGACTGCCTCCCGGGTTCTAATCCTCAGGTTGGCTCGAATAAAAGTTTCCATGTCTTTCTTAGATTGACTAGTGATTAATTTTTTCATTGATAGCTCCCAGCTCCAGTGTGTAGGAAATGAGCAATGTCCCCAGTCCCCGTGCTCTTTGCATGCCAACCACACTGACCTCTTTCAGTACCTCTGCCTTGGTTTGCTTCCTCCCACCCTTGCACAAGGTGTCATGCTGTTTCCTTTGCCTGGGACACTCTTCTCTCCTTGCTTTGCCCTCTTAATTCCTACTTATCTTTCAGATCTTAAACTTCACTTCCTTGACCACTCTGCCCTCCCCTAAACTAGATGCGATTCCCCTATTATATCCTTCTTAGCACTTGTCACCCAGGCAACCTAGCATTTGTTTCTGTATTTGACTAAAGCTGTATCCTCTGATAGACTGTTTGCTTTACAAGGTCAGTGTCTCTGTCTGGTTTTGCTCACCACTGTGCCTTGAGCACTTAGCTGATCTTCAATCATATTTTACTGAATTTAATTAAATCTGGCCCAACTCCCCACATGATGGAGCTGGAAGGAAAGTTAACCTGAGGCTATTACTGAGGTTTTCTCCCTTCTCCATGGTATCATGCAGGAACCTAGAAGAAGCCGGGGAACTGGACTGTGGGATTATTGTCCTCTTCTTCACGGCTCCTCATTGAGCAGTGATGCTCAGAGGGTGCTTTGGAAGGGCTGCCCCAGGTGGACTGCCTTCCACTGACAGCAAGTTCCCAACTTGCCACCCACTGGAGGGATGAAGTGCCAAAAAAGGAACTGTCCTCCACCGTCCCATCTTCCCCACCCCAGTCCTCACCCTCTCTTCTGACTCTTAGGAAACCTAAATTTCCTCTTGGATGCAGATGCTTTCCCCTCCATTACTCTAAGAACTAACCTCCATTGTCTCCTGTCCTGGGATGAATACTCCTCCACGGGCCTTTAGAAACCAGTTTTCCTGGAATGGGTTAGAGAAAGAGGATGCTAGTAACAGTTTTTTTGGTTTGTTTTCATTTTTTTTTAAGTTACTCTCCTCTACAGGTATGTGTATTTTGAAGCAAAATTGGGGGCATATTGTCTATACCCTTCTATAACTCATTTTCCCCGTTTACCAAACTGTACTTCCCTATAGCCTTAAATATTGAGAGTATGATTGAGAATATAGAATTCTCTAGGAAAGAGTCACCTAATTTATTTAACACGCCCCTTTATGGTGGGATATTCCTGGTTCCGTAGCCTGACAGTTAGGATCCTTTGTGCCTAGTTCTAGCCTCGTCTTCTGCTGGCAGGCCTCTCATTCTGCTCTACTGTCACACCAAATCATAACGCCCCAGGACACGTCATGCTTCTTCTCCATTCTTCCAGAGTTTCTTCAGCTGGATCCCTTTTTTTCTGATCAGCTCTTACTTATCCCTTCAAATTGGTGTCATCTCCTACTGCTTTCCCTGACATACCACCCCTGTCTGCTTAGTGCCCTTCTGGGCTCCCAAAGCATCCTCATTATGCCACTCTCATTGCTCTGGGCATATTTTCTTGGATTTATCCTCTGTGAATGTTTCAGTCCTCTTCACTAGACTTTAAGGTCTCTGAGGGCAGAAAGCATGGCACATATAGATGTGTCATAGTGTACCTGGCACATAGAGTTGTTCCAAAAGATTTGTTGAAGAGACACAGATTGCAAGAAGCATTTTGTTTAATTGCCTCGCTTTCTTTTTGGGTATGCACAGCTTCTTACGATGGCTTTGAACTTACCTGTCCTGGAATTGCCCTTTGTTTTATGCAATTATGGGGGTTTCTAACATTCTTCACCTAATAAACGCAGTGATGCCCAGTCCCCTTGGTGTTGATAAATATTTTCAATTTTGGCCTTTTTATTTCCTTTGCCAGGTAGGCTACAATTGTAGCTGTTCCTTTACTTTGAGCAGACGTAAGATGAGGTTCCCTTGTTTCATGGACCCTGGCACAACTCCATCTTCCAGATCTCCTTTTCAGATTCGTTCCTTATCTGTCAATTATCCACACTCTTCCTAAGGATAATAAGAGTCTTTCCCTCAGTGTGTTCTTGGAGAAATGCCAGAAGACTTCTTTTTGTTTGTTTGTTTTGGCTGTGCCATGTGGATCATGGGATCTTAGTTCCCGGTCCAGGGATCGAACGTGGGCCCTCAGCAGTGAAAGCCCAGAATCCTACCCACTGGACCACCAGGGAATTCCCCCAGAAGACTTTTTAGTAAGTTTTCCCCTGTTTGTAAAATAATTTGGTAACCCTCATTTATCAGATACTACCCCTTCTCCTAGAATCATGAGATTTCATATTCAAGTTCTGTGACTAGACGTCTAGTTTCTCAAGTTCATGCTGATAATTTTGAATTTAATGTTTCATGTTGTTTTTTCCAATGTAAATTTGAGATTGTATTTGAGGACAAGGGACTATGCGAAGGATAGCATTTCTTTTGTATTTAATACAATGCTGACATGTATGTTTGATAAATAAATATAAATATGCATTAAACTTGGGTTAGGATAGTTTCTAAACAGTGATATAAGGTTCTTTTACCATAGACAGATTTAGCTTCATTTTATAATAAAAATATTTGGTGGTAAGACTCATTGGGAGCAGGGTACTTGGTCATTCAACCACAGGTAGACTAAAATTAAGAGAACATTAGTGTAGACCAGGGGGAGATGATAGTCATTTGGGCTAGAGTGATGGAGGTGGTTAGAAGAAGAAGGATTTAAGAAACTGAACTGTGATGGATTGGCTATGGGTCGGGGGAGGGATTCACACATTGCATACCTGATGGATGGCAGTTCATCCAAAGAGATTTCCAGATCAGAACACCCTATTTGCCTAGACAATGTGCTGGATGCCACGGTCAATTTTTCCCCTCTGTGTTCCTCCTTCGTGGCTGTCATGTAGACCTTATTCTGGGTTAATTGTTTCCCTAGTTTTGGACATGATTCACATTTCTTAGTCACAATCAGATTCCAATTTTTTCCCGTTTATGCTCAGGTCAATGTGATTGAATTTGGGTATTCTTGAAAGTCTTCAAATATTTTAAGGACAGTCATTTGTGATATGTCATATCTTCATATAGGTGGTCTTTGGTATACTAATGCTTTCTACTTTCATTCTTAGACAGAAACCTGGCGAAAAAAATGAGCCTCACCACATCTTATACGCCAAAGTAAATTTTAAATGAATTAATGAATTGAGTATTAAGAAAATAGATCGAATACTCTATTGCTGGAGGTTAGCTTTCTATACTTAGATCAGAATAACTTAAAAAGAATGACATTTGGTTACACAAAAATAAGTAACTTCTGTAGATAAAACCAAACTTTAAAAAAATCCCTTCTTGGGGGCTTCCCTGGTGACGCAGTGGTCGAGAGTCCACCTGCTGATGCAGGGGACACGGGTTCGTGCCCCGGTCCCGGAGGATCCCACATGCTGTGGAGCGGCTGGGCCCGTGAGCCATGGCCGCTAAGCCTTTACGTCCGGAGCCTGTGCTCCGCAATGGGAGAGGCCACAACAGTGAGAGGCCCGTGTACCGCAAAAAAAAAAAAAAAAAAAAAAATCCCTTCTTGGGAATTCCCTGGCGGTCCAGTGGTTAGGATTCTGGGCTTTCACTGCCAGGGGCCATGGTTCGATCCCTGGCTGGGGAACTAGGATCCCGCAAGCTGCGCGGTGCAGGGGAAAAAAAAATCTCTTCTTAAATGGGAAAAATGAAAACCATTTGGAGGATATATGGCAAATAAAAGGCACATAACTTGATTATTTAAACAGCTCATGTAAACCACTGTGAAAGCCATTAACATTCACTCCATAGCTAAATGAGCCAAGACATAAACGAAGCTAATTCACAAATGGAGAAATAAAATAATAAACATGGAGAAAATGTTCTGAGTGATCCGTTCACCCTTATCTAAGTTTTCTAAATACTCTGTAATGTGGTACATTGCTTTTGCTGTTGACCTGAATTTAGGTGGACATGGGCAGAGGCCTGTTGTTGGTTCTATAATCAAGGATCAAACAACTGGATGGACTGTTTGAAGGAAAACATGGCTTAATAGTTTTAAGAGGTGGGTTAAGCTTAGAACTTTTAAAATTATATTATCCAAGGCCAATTCTGGGTGAAATCGTGAAGTTGGCTCTGATTTCCTCTTTCACAGCTTCCTCCAAGGTTGTCATGTGGGTGAGGACTCAGATATAGCCCTCCCTCAGTATCCAAGGGGGATTAGTTCCAGGGACCCCCCCACAGATATGAAAATTTGTGGATGCTGAAGTTCCTTACATAAAATGGCATAGTGTTTGCAAATGACCTATGCACATCCTCCTGTATATTTTATTATTTTTAAATAAATTTACTGATTTATTTTTGGCTGCGTTGGGTCTTCGTTTCTGCATGCGGGCTTCCTCTAGTTGCGGTGAGTGGGGGCTACTCTTCACTGCGGTGCCCACGCTTCTCATTGTGGTGGCTTCTCTTGTTGCGGAGCACGGGCTATAGGCGTGCAGGCTTCAGTAGTCGTGGCATGCAGGCTCAGTAGTTGTGGCTCGCGGGCTCTACAGCGCAGGCTCAGCAGTTGTGGTGCACATGCACAGGCTTAGTTGCTCCGCAACCTGTGGGATCTTCCCAGACCAGGGCTCAAACCCGTGTCCCCTGCACTGGCCGGTGGATTCTTAACCACTGTGCTACCAGGGAAGTCCCTGCAGTGTCTTCTTAAGAGACTTCCTCTCCAGGCCTTCAATTTGCACCCCAGAAATGACCTAAATATTATATATTCCTACTAGAGTTAAACGTCCCTAGGAATATCTACGTTTTATCTGGGATTCTATTCCTGAATTGGTTGATTTGGCCTGCCCTGGGGTCCTAGCCCAGACCGAGACCCCTTGTCTTAGTCAGGGAGGTTCTTTTTCCGATCGGATTCACACAGCCAATAACAAAACCTATGCTGAGACTGGAACAGCACGAGCTTTATTTAATGGCTAAAGAATGGAGAAGCGGAAACCTCGTTTGCAAATCAACTTCTCTACCCAATTCCAGGGGAGACACTATGTTTATAAGAGGATCGAGGTAGAAGGGAGGGAATTGGAATGAGTGGGAGGAATATTCATGACTTACCCGAGAACGGGGGTGTGGTTTGGACCTGGAACTGATGCAACTCTCCTTTTCGGTCCTTGTATGGGCTTTTCCGGTTGTTGTCATGGCAACTGTCAGCTGTCATTGCACCGGTCGGTGTGTCATTTAGCATGCTTAGGTATTACAACGAATGTATCATGAGGCTCTAGGTCTGCTGGAAGTTAAATCTTCAGCCATCTAGTGCCTAATTGGTTCTAACCAGTTCTTGTGTTTTTCTTTGCAGCTTCCTCCCAAAACTTAGGTTAAGAGCAACTGGTTTCCATTCAAGCCCGGGACAAGAGTATGATTCTGGGGCAACAGCTTTGGTAACAATTTGAGGCTTAATCTAAACTCATAAGTGAAACTCTAGTGGAATTTCAGGCCTCGTTCAAGGTGGGGAGTGAGGGTTTTGCAGGATAGTGGAAAACACCCCACAAAGAGGTAGGAAAAGTGCCTCTTAAAAAGGTAGAGTTGTGGTTGCCACAGCTGATTATTTAAAAGGAGAGGGATTTTGGCTCTTTCTCTCCCTGTTGGTTCACGACCTCAGGTAATTCCCCAGGTGAAACCTCCGCCCCCACACCAACACACACACACACCCTAGGAGGTCACAGAATGACTGAAGAGGCAGGACATTCCATATTGGTAGGTGGCAGTTTTAGTAAGCAAGGGAACTTACATAGGTGGTTTGTCTTGAATATCCACTTGCCAGAATCTTAAGAGTTTATACAGAGGTCTTAAGTGGGGGAAGGGGGGTTGCACTTACCAAAGAAGTCCAGATGGTTTCAATAACACCTTACTCTCTCAAGGCTGCATCCTTCAAGTAGCACCTAGCTCAGGAACAGAGGGCAGAAAGTACATTCCAAGGACAGAACGGGTAAGGAGCCTCTGACTGCCTCAGTCCACCTCCTGGGTCAAGCCGAGCCGACGTCCAGTCGATTACTCTCCCAACACTCCCTAAACTGATTTCCTATGTGGCTCAGATTCTGTTTAAATGGAAGATATGCTGTACCTAGGAAACCTGAGGCGAGGCTAGAGAGGGCTGTGAGAAGGCAGGCGCCTTCCTCTCGCAGGACGCGGGGCAAGGAACTCTGCATGTCTAGTAAGTCTGTCTCTGCGGACGCAGACAAATTTCAAGCACGCGGGGAGGGATGCGTACCCAGCGCAACGCCGCCTCCGGAAAGCGCCCAACTCTTGGGCTTCCGGCACCGCCCCTGTCCCTCCAAGCACTTCCGTCTGGGCTGGCAGTTCGTGGACTGCGGGAAACCACGCCCAGTTCTTCCGTTCGGTCTCTCGCCACCGCGTCCGTTAGCGCCACGAGGTTAGCATGGCAGGCGGCGAGTTGCGGGCAGCGCTGGAGCAGCGTCTCGAAGCCCTGGCCATCCGCACGGAGGTCGTGGAGCACCCGGAGGTGAGGCGCTCCCGCCGGGACCACCCCGGGAAGGGGTGGGCTCTGCTGCAGCTTCTATGGGGCGAAGGTGCTAAGCCTGGACGTCCCAGGGGTAATGTGCCGCAGAAACTTCCGTTCTAAGGCATTTCCCGGGATCCAGAGTACGAAAGGGATCATCAAGGGCCTCTCCACTTCGGACGCTGTTATTGTGAAAAAAACCCCATGTTTTCTTCTTGGAGTGATTTTTTTGGCCGCGCCACGTGGGGTGCGGAACCTTAGTTGTCCACCAGGGATCCAGCCCGTGACCCGTGAAGTGGGAGCGCGGAGGCCTAGCCATTGGACCGCCCGGGGATTCGGAGTGATTTTTTTTATGTTGAGAACTAGTACAACATATTGAGAACTTGCGCATCTCAAACTGGCTAGGGATGTTTGGTCAGTGTGTCAACTTTATGCGTATGTAAGTTGCCAAGCAGTAAACCCGTCTTTGCAGTGGCCGCAGGTGCATACAGGATGCCAAGGTTAGAGTTTGGTATTTTTTAACATGATTTATTGATGGGAATATTTTTTTTTTGCACATATCTGACGGAGCCAGTACGTAACCTGAGTGGTGCAAGGACAAAGTTTTTGCCCAACGCTTGAGTAACAGCTAGTGATAATTAGCTAGATATGGTGATGATCTTCCAAGTTTACAGAAATTCATCAAAAGTATATTATTTGACCCTTTTGCCTCCCTTATAGTCCACATACTCTCCCCCTTTTTACTGCGCGTATTGCCAGCTTTTCTGATTTTTTCTGTATATTAGTCCAGGGTCTCATTCCCTGCCCTCACTCCCTCTCTGTGGTTATCTTTTTATAGAGTGGAGATCGTCATATGGCCTGGATGTAATGGAATGCCAAGGAATAGGAGTCTGGGCTGCTATAAACTTTTTTAAATTAATTTTTATTGGAGTATAGTTGATTTACAGTGTTGTGAGGGCTGCTATAAACTTTACCGAAAGTATAATGGAGAAACAAAAACATTTTAGGAGTGTGAAGCCTTGGCCTGCACATTGGAATGGAGAACTGGCCTAAGAGAAACTGTCAATACTTCCTGAGGCCCTGAGATGAGATATATTTGCTAATGGGCTGGGGATGGATCTCTACCAGTGAAATCCAGGTCATTGAGTACTCCCTAACCTTACACCCACCAGGCAATATACAGATAACTGTATGTGTGCAGTGTGTGTATACATGCATATTATTTTTAAACTTCTCATGTGATATTTCACAGGTGTTTACAGTTGAAGAAATGATGCCTCATATCCAACATTTGAAAGGAGCACATAGTAAGAACTTATTTCTTAAAGACAAAAAGAAAAAAGACTATTGGCTGGTGACAGTTCTTCATGATAGACAAATTAATTTAAATGATCTTGCCAAGCAGTTAGGTGTTGGAAGTGGAAATCTGCGGTTTGCTGATGAAACAGCCATGCTAGAAAAACTGAAAGTTGGCCAAGGCTGTGCCACACCGTTGGCACTCTTCTGTGATGATGGAGATGTGAAATTTGTTCTGGATTCTGCTTTTTTGGAAGGTGGACATGAAAAGGTGTACTTTCATCCAATGACCAATGCTGCAACCATGGGATTGAGCCCTGAAGACTTTCTCACATTTGTGAAGAAGACAGGACACGATCCCATAAGACTAAATTTTGATAAAAACTAATTGGGCTAATACATTTATTTCTGAAAGCTGTTTTTCTTACTTGTAATTATAAAAAGCATTAAAGTGGTAAGATATATATAGCACTTTGGTTTGGTGACTACCTAAACTACTTAAGGAGCTATTTAACTATTTCATCTTAAAGGAGCTGTTTTTAAAAAGATATATTGAGGTAGTTTTAGTCAGCTGAGAGATTCCACCCTCCCCTTCCCCCCATGACAATTACTTGTTACCGGAATGCCTTAAACAATTAAGGATGAATTAACATAGGGAGTTCCCTGGTGGCCTAGTGGTTGGGATTCCAGGCTTTCACTGCCTTGGTGCAGGGGAGCAATCCCTGGTCAGGGGAACTGAGATCCTGTAAGCTGTGTGGCAGCCTAAATTAATTAATTAACATAAAAACTAAGATTAGTTAACTAAGATTAACTATATTACATCTTCTGTAAGGTGTTTATTATGCTTGAAAAAAGCAAACTGCAAAAACAGCATATATAAAATTATACATATGACAGTGTACATACAGGGGAAAAAGAGGAATATGGGAATATATTCAACTGTTAATAGTGGTTATCTTTGAGGAATGAGAATTAAGGAATAAGAATTCCCCAGCAATATAATTAAACATGGGGGCAAGGGCAAAACCTTCCTATTACCAGGTGTTTGTTTTTAAACCAATGCTTTTTTTTTCAGTGAAAAATAAGCTATTTTTTAAATAAAATTCTATCTTTAGAAAATTTTAATCTAGAAAAACACTCAAAGTAGGGATGGAAAATGTCATGTCATAATCATACTAATGAAATTATATTTTAAAACTCAGGAGCAGAAAATACATAGGCCATTAAGAAGGATTTGCTTAGTCTTTGGAGGTTACAAAATGTGAACATGCTTGAACAAGGTTCCTTTGTCCTCTAGGCTATATTAAATTTTACTTATCCCCTTTCAACTGTGGCATCTAAAGCAGTATAAGAACCCAGGATTATGTATTGTCAGTTGTCATATAGAGGCTAGTTCAAAAACAGGAAAATTGATGTACTTTTCCACCTCACTTAGATTCAAACAAAACCCCAGTTGAGGGTCTGACTAGACTAGGCTACAAAATAGCCTAGAGGTCTTAGGAAAATTCTCGTTTCCTCTAGAGTACAATCAAGTGGGATATTTGAGAGATAATCATATTTTCCTAAGGTTGAACACTCAAAAAAAATTTGCTTCTGGTAGAGAAATTGTACTTAATTTGTACCAATTTGCATTACTGAAAGGCAAAAGTAAAAACTTGTCATCTTTGGATATATGTGGTTAGAAACTACAAGTCTACTCAAGGCAGAATTTTTATAAAATACAGAATGGATTTAAGAGATGAGTTAGTAAGAAATATTTTCCATAAATGATAACCTTATTTCTGAGGTGCTATGTTAGTTTTTGCCTACTCTGTACTATATCTCTAAGAAAGAGGAAATTTTAGGTTGCTTTGCATATAAAATTAAGGTTTAACGAACAGAATCAAAGACACCGAGGACCTCAGATAACTGGTCTAACTGTCCTCCCCACCTTATGGTGAAAACAGGCCCAGAAAGACTGACCTGCCCAAGGACACAAGGCAGGTTGCCATCTCTAACATTACGCCTCCCAAAGTTTAGATGTGAAAATGAAAGGGACTGATTGGTACAATCTATTATCGTATTTAAACCTACTTTGAGGTTGACAAGACTGATAGACTCTCAGTTCTCTCGCAAAACCTCCAATACTCTTCCCAAAGTGATTAGGACAGAATCATCTAAACAAGGTTATATGTTATGAAACACATAAAATAGGTTTTCTAGGGCAAAGGGAAAGAATAATATTGGGCTAAATTATATGTTATGATTGCTGACCACTTGTTATAAAAATCACCTCTTTTTATATTAGTTTAAAATTCACCTCTTGTTATATCAGTTTAACAAGTGAATGTTAAACCAACTTAATTTTTTTAGGAGAAATAAAGTTAAAAACAAATGAAAAATAATGAATGTTTTTAAAAAAAGACAAATCGGCCAAATGATGGTATCTGTTTTGTTATAAACTGGATTTTTTGTTATGAACTGTGGCTTATATTAGGTATAGCCAAGTAATAAACATTTTGCCATTCAACTCCAAATTTCTCAGTAGCATTACTTTTAAAGGAAATGTTACATCTTTTATATTATTAGATTTGATATTTAATAACAGTTACAAGTACAATGGCAAACACTGAGAGAACCCTTAGTAGAAAAGAAAAAGACAATTTGAAATCACGTTTTGTTAAAGGTGTTGTAAGTGCAACTTTATCCATAAGCATTCCTTTTAAGGCATTTTCTTTGTCCAAATATCTCAACATGTACATCAAGGTTTATATTATAAAATGGGCTCCTTTTGTATTATTCATTCAAGGCTTAAAGAAAAAAATACATCTCAGGACTAAGTGTAGCAGAAAAGAAAACACAAAAATTCACTTTTCTCATAAAAAGTAACTTAAAATACAAGTCATTTAGCATACATTATTACTCCTCATTGTAATTCCAGATTTGGTACAATATCTTTTTCACTTCCTGACATAAAATTTTAAGACAGTGCAGGCTGTAATACTTCATTTGTGAGGTGGCTGCAATTCCGTAATATGCACAGTGATTTTTAAATAGGCTTTTACCATGCCTTGCATGAAAGGTGCTACATACAAACCTGTTTTGTGTACTCTTTGGTAACCACCAGTTCAAAAACTTGGACCGAACATTTCCACATTGCCAGATCTGAAGCACTTTGTTGGAGCTCTGGGCCGAAGCTATTACCCTGTATATAAATTCTTTAGTTTCCGAGGGGGTTTGGGTATTGATTTAGAATAGAGCCAGATCATTAAAAGCATGTCAGGCCCCATTCCGGAAAGTGGCCCCAGTTAGTTTCTAGTTGGCTACACTATTTTGTTTGGCAGAAGTGGTTTATCTAAGGGAAAAGCATGACTTCATACTAAGTTTGCTTCTGATGGTATCTTTTGGAGACGGTAAAATATTCATGGGTTATCTAATCCTTTCTTGAAATGGTATGAAAAAGGTGATTAATATAA